GTGTGGACAAGATGGATAGTTTATATTCAGAATAAATATGAGACTAAAAAGTATCATCTAGCTTATGAGTAAATTTTAGATTATTATTAATAGTTTAATATGGTTGAACTTATATTAGTTTTAGTGTTATGGTTTAATTAATAATGACTTGTTTATATTATTATTGTTTTTAATTTGTTAATATTTATTTTGAAAGGGAGTTAAAGTACATTATGGACTTGATTGCTTGTATAGTTGGGTAATGTTAGCTGGACTATGACTGTTTATTTGTAACCCTGTAATCAGCTCTGAGAAGTGGGGGAGGGGGGAGGGATTCGGGATATTGTATAACATTTTTAAAACTTTTAATAAAAAAAAAAGAACTGTCAGCCTGGTGAAGTGGTTAGAGAGGCCAAATTCCAATCCTACCTTTAGGGATAAAGCCAGCTGGGTTACCTCGAACCAGTCAGATACAATCATCCCTAGAAAGCAAGCAATGGCAAACGGCTTCTGAAATTTTGCCAAGTACAGGGACTAGTCAGCAATGACTCACAGACCAGTGCATAGAAACTATTTGAAGACTGGTTCATTCTCTGCACAACCATTTTTTCTCTCCTATACTCCTCATTTACAATGCAATCTTAGTTATATTTTGTCAGATTCATATTTCACTTTTTATAAAGGAGCTTTTAAGGCAGCATACATAATACAGGTAGTCCTCAAATTACGGCCACAATTGAGCCCAAAATTTAGGTTGCTAAGTGAGACATTTGTTAAGTTTTGCTCTATTTTATGACCTTTCTTGACACAGATGTTAAGTGAATCTGGCTTCCCTTATTGACTGCTTATCAGAAGATCGCAAAAGGGGTCACATGACTGCAACCATCATAAATATGAATCAGTTGCCAAGTTTCTGAATTTTGTTCACGTGACCATGGGGATGCTGCAATGATCATAAGTGTGAAAAATGGTCATAAATCACTTTTTTCAGTGATGTTGTAATGGTCACTAAAAGAACTGTTGTAAGTTAAGGACTACTTGTATTTCCTCCATTTTTTTCCTCTAGTTAGAAGTATATCCAGGTGAGTTAATGGGTGATTCAGATATTTGCACATTAAGTGTATTTTTGTAAATGACTGGGTAGCTTGCATAGTTGTTTTGGTAGTACAATACTGTTTTTTTCAAACCAATGATTTTTCAATATATGTATCAAAATTTGTATTGTCTTCTAGTAGCATTTAGAAGGCATCAGTTGAGGACTACTAAAACAGAGAAATACATCTGAGAAATATTTATAAGATGCAAACTTTACAATGATTTTTTCAGGAGTCACCATTTACTGCTGCAATAAATGTCTGCTGAATACATATCAACATCAACATTTGTTTTGTTTTGGAGTTTGCGTTAAAGTACTATGAAAGTGGCTGTTTTAAGCATCACAAGAGAAAAGGCAGTGTGCCACGTCACTTAAAATGCTTCTTGCTATTCAGCAGCTCCAAAATGAATGCTTTTTGCATCCATTGCAGGGTTTTTTATTCACGTAGCATCGAATAATTAAATGCATTAGTTTTGATAAGACAGGGGTTTTTGGATAATTTGTGTATATACATAAGTCATCACACCCACTGCACAGCAATAAAATGTTTTGTTCTCAGAAAGAATTAGCACAGAATATTAAACAGCTTGAGCTCACATTTTTGTTTTTGCTACAGTACATTACAACTAGATGCATATGCTACACATGTAAAGAAAAATACTAGAGATCCAGTTTGATGTAATGGTTAAGGTGATGGTCTAGAAACCAAGATACTAAGTTTTAGATCTGTCTTAGATATGAAAGCCAGCTGGAGGATTTGAGGCCATCATTTTCCTTCAGATCATTCACAAGGTGGTGATTGTGAGGAAAATAGGTGGGAGCATTATTGTTATGTTTGGCCTTGAGTCAACACACACATGCACACACAGAGATAGAGTTGCCTTATTGGGAGATAAGGAGCACATAAATTTAATAAATAATACCCAAAATAACTTTCATGGACTCTCAAAAATTTGATACTAAAAACCCAGCTGTTTCCTTTATTAGTGCAATCTATGCTTTTTGGTTTTTCAAAACTGAACTGAAATGGGAATCTGTCTTATCAATTTAAGCATCAGTCAAATCCAAGTAATTGAAGTTTTGTTTTTAAATTCTCCATTGGGGAGCACTGTTATTACTTCTTAAAATAAATTAAATTTTAAGAAAATGCACATTCTTTTGTGGATCTTGTTTATACTTTGCTGCCTGATAGTTTAAGATTGCCGTGTGCAAAAACTCCACCTTTTCCAACGGTAATGTTTGGTTTTGGGGTGGAGATCTACCATGAGTCACTAAGTCCAGCTGGATTTTCCAGGGACATAAAACAGATAACTAACTCCTTAGTGCCACACACTGTATAACTGCTGTTATAACCAGATAAGAAACTGATAAACCACTTGTGAATTTCAAAGCATATATATACTCAGAAATACTACTTGGATTGTGATATAAACTAAACAAGTTAAGATATTTTCATACGTTTGGTTTCTCCATCCGTGAATGGGTGAGTCTTTAAATTTTGTTCAAATTCTGCTAACATGCCCAATGGAAATAGCAGTATTAGGATTTCCTTAGTAATTTTCCAGTTAAGCTTTTGAAACCAAATTCTACATTTAAAAAATTGTAACACATAGGAAAATCTAAAGAAGAGTACTTGTGGATTTTTAAAATTAATAAAGCAAAAATGTGCAGCATTTCCTCTAAATATTTTTTATTTAGAGTGTATCTCTTGGATCTTGCTTCTGAGCAATAACAAATTTATTTCACTATCTTTTTCTCTGACTGTATCAGTCAAAAATAGATTATGCAGCAATATGAAAGTGGATATGTGCATTTAGGCCTGACACCTTTAATATTTAGTTAACTTTTACTTAAAAAAAAGTGGGGCAGAAAAAATACACTTCTCATTTTGTTTCCTTTGGTAGCAAATTTTGAAAAGGATGACAACATAACAGATTCTTATCTAGACCCAATCAGATATGTAAACTCTAAATAGGCAGTTTGATGAGTAAATTCTGGGTAATTTGCATGTTGGTCAACATGATTCTCATGCCTGCAAGATGCATTTGCCAGAAAAAGGGTTTCCCCTGAATTATGCTGCATTAAAACAAAACAAAAAATAACTTTGATAGGGAAAAGAACTAGAAGTTGATTCCCCCTCCCCTTTTTGCATGAAAACATTGCAAGTTCAGTTCTGAAATTGGAAAACATTCTGTTGGGCTATGTTTTCAGAAGTACCTTGTTCCCAAAGAGTGGATTTATTTAAGTTTTGTTTATTGAATGAGTAACAGTTGGCTGCATTCATACAACACAGTCAAAACCAAATAAACTATATTATGGCTTAACGTACTATGTCAACTGATACTAATTCCATAGTGCTGGGAATAAAAAATTAAAGCTCTCTCAAGGTTGATGAATTAAAACTCAGTAATATTATTTGGGACTACTAGGTATTATGGTCAACATTTGGCAGGGTACACTTTCCCCCCCTTTTGTACCATGGTAGATTTCAGGAATGTTTTGTTTGCTCATCACTACTATAAACAGTGATTTACAAAAGGTAGGACTTAAAAGTAGACCAATGGGTGGTAACAAGTGGCTGATCTTGAAATACTGTAGTTAAGCAAGAATGACTTGATTAGTATTGGATGAAGATCATAGAAAACATTATTTTGCCAGGCACTGGCATTTTCCCGAGTGAGCTCAAAATTGTATCTCTTGCTTCCAAAATCCATGTTTGTTGAATTATTGGATGTTGCATTTGTTATAATTCCCACTCTTTCCCCTCTTGGTTGCTAGGCAAAACACTTGTCCTCTGGAGAATTCTGGAACTCTCACTCCACAAAAACTATATTGGTCTCCACTAGCTTTCTACCCAGGGAATGAAATGGATGTTTTGAAACAATCCTTCCTTCCTCTCCCTTGTGTGTTAAGCTCAAATGCAGAACTTACGAACCATCTGCAACCTAGAAGAACCTGTTTGCCTCTCTGGGTTTTGTGTGTGTGTGTGTGTGTATTGTTCATGTAAGCAAGCAAAAAGTCCTGATGCAGGTCTTGTCTGCAGATGACGCTCCCTGCCTGAAAAGCAGCACCAGAAAAATATGCTAACAGAACGTCCTAACCGCGCTTCGCAAAAGCCAGGAAACAGGAACGTTGCAGTATTCAACAAGCTTTATTCACTATGTTGAAACTAAGTTAGCACTGGAACGAAGCTCCATTCATTGCCCTAAATACATTCCTCCACCACACCCAGAGTACACACCCCAATTGACGGTTAATTGGTCATCTGGAATCCACCTGTCCCCCTCCCCATACCTGCCTCGTGATAGTCCTCCACCCTACCTACGCCCCGATCCAGCTAGTACTTATGTTCGAACCTTACATTGAGTCCACGCCCCGATCCAGCTAGTACTTATGTTCAAACCTTGCATTGAGTCCATGCGTTCCGTTCACGCCATTCTCATCCCTAATGTCCCATTCAACCTCTTCCTATAATACCCCTCCCGGTATCCAAGTGTTGTCAGACCCAGCGTCCCAGTTCCCTTCATTTACAGAGTCACGGTTCCAGCAACATAAGCCATAACAGTTTTAACAGCAGTCGGCTTCTCCATATTCCATTTCTACATAGCCTCCGTCCGATTATGTGCTGGCAACATAGGATGTTCATGTGACCCGTTCGGCCGCCGCTGTTGGCGATGTAGCTCACGAAGCTACCGGACTCGGCTGGAACACAGGGTTAACTGGAACATTCTGGACTTTGGAAGGTAAGTATCACGCTGGGTCTGACATATGCATTCTGACTATGCAGTTTAATTCAACATCCAGTTTATTTTTGTTATCTTTGGATTGTGAGTTCCTCCTGGGCTGTTTGGGGGATGGGAGGGATGTGTGAGATGGAATTGGTCAAATGAAACAACACAATAAATGCATGACTTTTTTAAACTGATTTTTAAATTCTTTATGTTAACATTTAAAAAAAAATTGTTCACACATAATGAAAGCACTTAATTTTATAATGCCAAATCTTTTTAGTAAAAATATGTTTTGGGTAACCAAGATTAGTTTCTTATGTATCTGAAAAAGAAGTTTTAAGTCATAATTAACAGACTTTAGATTAAATCTCATATTTCATATTAAATTAATGAAGTTTTAATCAGCTGATAGAGGCATAAAGGCTTCTTTGGAAATTAGTACCACTGTATACCAATGAAATGGTATGAGAATTTAATACAAGATGGAGAAATGACAATATCCTACATGTTACTGGACTGCAACATGTCCAACATGTCTGTTGGATTGAGAGTTATATTCAGCAGCATTAGAGGTGATCCCTCATTTAAAAGCTAGGGCTATTAAATGGATTTATGCAGTTGACAGATAAAAAAAATGTCACCACATTCATCTGCCCACAGCCCCATCAATTTTTAATATATATAGTGACACACTTAAAAAAAGCAGTAGAGCTTTGATTGCATGGTTATGGCTGCCATCCTGACTTTTTTTTTACACCCCCCCCCCTCACAATATTAAAACATTCCTCTGCCTGAAGGAGTTATGCCAATGATTAAATAGAGGAACAATAGGGCAGTTGAACCAGCTTTTCCAAAATTAAGCTACATTAGTCTCAGATTTAGACTTCTTTACAAGTAATTTCATGTGTTTAAAACCATCCATGCAGAAAATAGTATTGACTAGAAATGGAATTATAGCTGCAGTATGCTGAATTTATTAAGACAACTATAAATAGCATTGCTATTATAATGTGCATGCATTATAGTGATTCAAACTGGAAATACGTTTACTGCATTAGTTCATCTAAGATTAGCAACTTCAGAGCAATGATGCATTTACAGGACAAAAATTTGAACTTTGGAAAGCTGACCACATACATATAATAGATTTGAATAGCATTTCTAAAATATTAAATGCAACAAATATTGTTTCATGAGGTAATTTTGTATTTTATTTACCTTCTGGAAAGGTAATAAAGGTGCTATAGAGATGGTACAGTGCACCAAAAACATCTACACAGCCCACCATTTTGAAAGAGAATTTAAACAAGGTAATTCACAGGTTTTAAGTATGGCATGCCTAATAAGGACTAATTCTGCATCCTGCTACTTAAACAGTGCTCATGACTGACTGTGCTTCCATTCTTTATTTTTGTCCAAAATGTGTGTTTCAGCCATGTCATTCTAGAGTAATTCAAGGCGACAGCAGTAACGCTTTCAACTCAGAATTAGACATCCTTAAGGTCCAACCTACAAATAAAAGGGGATTGGAAAGATCCCAAATACAGATGTCCATTATATTCATGTGCTTCACTTATATGTGTTGCCACCATTCCATTTGGATCGTGGAAGCTTCTTCTGTAGGATCCAGTATCACTTAATTCTACCACAAGGCTGTACTTGGGCACAAATTTTATCACAGTTTCTTGACTGAGCAGCTGCAACACAAACAATCATGTTATAGACAGTTTTCTTTGAATCATCAATATTACAACATTTGAGGTGATTGAATCAATTACTGCCATCTGTTTCATTATTACATGTTTTAAATACCTGGATATGCATAATGTCAGACAAAGTTAAGCACTTTGGAATATAAGTGATAATAATTGTTACTGTTAATCAATGGATGGGAAGCCTGCAAAGAGGATTGCAAATAACAATCACATGACTGGGGGGGGGGTGTTACTTAGCAACTAATTGTAAATGCTAATAGGTTGCCAACTACCCAAATTGTGATCATGGAACTGTGGGGAAGGGCAGGGCAACATGATGTTTTCCAACAGTCAGAAGTTGATGTTATGTATGCAGAATGTCAATAAAAGCAACAGAAACATCTACTGAACTAGAGAGTGAAAATATCTTATTTGCCAAACTTTCTTTTAACTGCGATCTTTAAGTATGGCCAAACAAGGAGCCAAACAATAATTGCCATACTGACACAAACTGAGTGTCTGGTAGTATGATTTTCATTCGTTCTTCATCCTGAAATTCAGAGTTAAATATACAAACTCATACAAGCCTTTTTTTGTGTGCATATACCAATTCCAAAGATAAGGAATCCATACTTTTCAGTGTGTTTGCCTTGACTGCAACATTAAAAAATGATTACAACGGTTGTTGCATTCCTTTTATTTCCTCCCTACTTTTTATTATTTTATTCTTTTTCTCTTGTTCTGAATTATTAAACAAATAAAGTATTTTTTTTTTAAATTGCAATGGCTGGATCTGAAACAGGACAGGGAGAAGAAATACATTCTCTTCAAAGGAAGCTTATTTAAAAGAATTTCAGTTAGAGGCGGCTGAGCTCAAGTCTGGTATATGAATACATAAGATTTGTTACTGCTGTTTCTTACCTTCAATATGATTCTTTTAATCCATGGTTTTTCAGATAAGAAATCCACCATAGAAAATCCAGGGTTTGCTCTAATAGCTGACATAGCTACCCAATAACCTCCAGAGCTGCTTAAACGAATGTTGTCTGGAAAACCAGGCATGTTTTCGACAAATAGATCCTCTCCACCTTTCATCAGTCCAGATACATAATACCTAAACATGCATAAACATTTTACAAATTTGCTGTATGAAACAAAGAATGTGTTAATATTTTATGCTGTATTTCTAACCTACCACCCTAATGATTAGAATGCAGTTGGAACTATAAAACATGTATAAAGAACACAGAATACATTAAAGCAATAGCAATACAGAACGAAGGACAGGATAAATTTGTGCTTACTAAAAACTAAACAAAGATCACAAAACCTACATAGCATCTCAGTTAGCCAGTAACATTCTTTAGAAATTGCAGAACACAGTCACTTAGTAAAAAATCCTCCTTGCTTAGCAAGGACAATACATAAATAGGAAAAGTTTCTACTCATCTACCCAGACAAATAAACTAAACTAGCATTTAGTCAATTCTTAACAAAATAGCTGGATCTATACAGCATCCTTACAAGCATCTCATCTACCTTCGTATTCTTGCCATAACTGTTTCGGCCACCAACACAAAGTCTTCAGCAGGAGACAGCTGGACTCCATTTGGAAATCTCAGTCCTTCCATTAAGACTTTGACTTCCTTTGTCACTGTGTCATATTCAAATAAGCTAAAGACAGAACAATTACAGGGTATTACTAATTGTATTACTAATCCCCTCTCAATCTCCATATGATCTTTGACAATCCTATATCAATATATATATATATATATATATGAATTACTCATATTATGCATAAGAACAAACTATAGCTGGATATATTAAAAAAAATAGCACTGATGGAACAATTGGCCTCTCAAACCAGGAAGTTTCAGAGCTTAGTTATACTACTAAGAAGGCCTTTTAACTTGCCCAAACCAGATATGCCTCACCAATCATCAGATTTTAAGGCTGACACAGGTTAATATGGAATACAGTGGTCCCTGAGGTATCTTGAAAACTATATTTATCTCCAACATTTGAATTGTACCAAGAAACAAAGTGGTATTTAGGGCCAGTAGCACCAAACTACCACATACCCATCATATTATTCTCCTTAAGGATAAGCAACTACGTAGAGAATAGAAAATTTCCTGTTTCAAGGAAGAAATATAGGAAGGAAATATACCTCAATTAAGAATGTCAACAGATGAAATTTAAATGTTATTTCACTATTTTAACATTTTAATAACCACCAAATACTTGTTTCTAGAAATGCTATCTCCATCATCCCCCCCAAAATTATTCTTCTTGTGATGCTTGAATCACAATTTTGTTATATAATTTACAACTCAGTCTAGAACATTTACCGTCCATCATCTGTAGCCTCCATGATTAATAAGGAATAATCTTTTCTCTGCCATTTACTACTAGAATCTGTAAAATAGATTTTCCTTCCATCTCGAGTCATTGTAAGATCGTTCACAAAGGACATGTTCTTCCCTTCAATAGGAATCTTTGAAGACACAAGTGGCCTGACTGCACCTGATCACAGAAAAACAATTTTTTAAAAACTCTTTGCTCTTTTGTACTTATATGAGTGTATAATTTCTACTTATGCCTATACTGAATTTATTTAATATTAAGGATTCAAAATAATTAGCAGATTCTTAAGCAGAATTCAAAATAGGTGTCACTTGCACATCATGGTTTACAGCTTATCATTCAAACTATAATTAAAACCAACTAGGATTTGGTGCAATGTGTATGGGGGGGGGGAAAGGAGAGGTAGACTTGCCTGAGTCAGGATTTATTTCAAACAGCCCATAATAGGCATCTAGAACAAAAAGAGTATTGTTTGGTCCAACACGGATTCCTAGTGGTCTCCCACATGTAGGCTCATCTTCTTTTGTACCTTTTAGAAAATACAAATAAATATAAAGTATGCAGCTTCTAAACAAAAGTTTCTATTGTGCTTCCAAAACAGAGTATCAATAATCTTGAATCTGATCAATAAAAGATAAATTTTGAACATTCAAAAACATCTCTGTTTAGTTAGATTTATATCCTTTTTCTTCATATAATTAAATAATGACAAAACCCATATTCTGATGTAGTTAAAAACAACAGTGCATCTTGCTAGACCTGAAGGGATGGGCAATACATGACCTTCCAAATACTGGAATGCAACTCTTATTACCTCTTTCCTGATCAGGTTGGTCAAGTCTGAAGAGAACTGAGTTCAGTATAACATCTGGAGAATCATTCACTGCCCATCTCTGTATAAATAAATATTCTTTTTTTCTTCTGCTCAATTCTCAGATACATAATGATGAATATTGTAACACAGTACTTAATTAATGTTAACCAGAAATATTATCAAGATTTTATTACAGAGGAAGATTCCTATCATGCTATCTTTCACTTTAAAAGGAGTTGTTAACCAAATATCCATAGGTTTTTTCACAACTACACATACAAAATTACCACTCCAAAATGCACAAACAACGTATCATGAAATAATTTTTCATATATTTAAAAATGTTGAGTTGGAAGGTACGCGACAAGTCTGAAATGGTTTACTAGCCAAGTCAAACCACAATATAAAAGGAATAACAAAATAAGTAGTGTTTTTTTACCACAAGGACCATGGCCAAGACGAGCTAAAGTGGAAATTTTCCCATTTTCAATCTTCACAATTTTTCCATCAGCAGTACCAGTAAATAACACATCTATGAGAGACAAGCAGTGACATGAGCTATGCATTTAACACATAAGGCTTATATAAGACTTCAGAACACTCAAGATGCTTTTTATACAGTGATGTCACAAAACCGTCAAAGAGCAAAACTAAAGTTTGCCTTCCATTATATCTGTATTGGCATATTTTATGTTATAAAAGATAACATAGAATTATCACTGAAATGCATTTGCCTCCATCAGCAATAAACTTTATTTATTATTTATAGACCTAGGGGGGGGGGCAGCAACAATTCAAAGTATATTACAATTAAAACAGAAATAATATGTGATGGTTGCCTGAATACCAAGGGCCAAAAACTTGCTGAAACAGTTCTAATACAACCTGCTTCCAGAAAACAAAGAATGGGTTCAGGGGTCCCCTACTTCCAGGAGGAACATATTCACAGAGTGGGAGACTGCTACTAAGAAGGCCCATCACCTGGTCCATATCTCATATACCTTCCTAGTAGGGTGATTCTTCAACAGAACCTCCCTAAATATTTACAAGGAATGGAAAATATAACTTGGGTGCTGTACTATTAAGGACCTTATGACCTTAAGCGTTATGAATTGGGCTGGAAATCTACTGCAATAACTTCAAATCAATGGAAGTCTACACTGATAGGATTTAATGATATAGTTCTTCTATTTAAATATTACAGACTCGTGGCTGTTTACAATAACAATTAACAGTAAAAGTCCACATTATATGTCAGTAGTCTTGATGCTACATTTTATACCAGCTGCAACTTCAGATTTGTTACTAAAGACTGCCTTATAATAAAAGAAAGAGTTCACGTATTGTATAAAGTTATAATACACGGAACAGCAAATTTCATACATGGAACAGCAAGTCTCAAATGGTCTGTTTGGACCAAATTGTTAGCATCTTTAATTTTATCAGATGATAATACCTTGTCATTATGATGGTGATTATCTAGCTTAGATTTCTAAAAATTACTTCCTTAGCTCTACTGAAATTGCTGAGAAGACTGTTGAGAAACTGCTAGCTTCCCATAAAACACATTAAAGGGTTGTTATAAAAGACAACTACAATTACTTTTTCTTAATTTTATTTTCTCTTAGTCAGCCTTATCTAACTTCTTTTAATGTTTTTTCAAACAACCAAATCAATTATGGTGACATGGATGAGCCTAAAGGGTGGCAGGATGGAAGTTCTGAGAAACCATTTTTTCCTGGCACCATCTGCTATCTTGGAATAGTAACTTGGTAAGTCCCTGCCACTGCTTATCTTTCAAGGAATGCCTTGCCTAGCATTCCTCTCACTACCACAGTGCATAAGATCGATAGTGTTTTCACCACCTGGGCTGCCTTTATGGCAAGATAAAACTAGTGGGGAAAATGACTTCATATCTCTATTGCAGCCTCCCTACGCTGTAGGGGGAAGGCATAGGATCAGGACATTCAGCCCTTCATTCAAGAACAGAGATATAGAAGGTTTATTACTTTAAAAAGAAAAGTACTTTAAAAAGAGAACATGCAAAGTTCCAGATTACAAGATGAAAAATGACAAATACCTAATATAGTTTTCTGGCTAGACTTCTTTATCAATGTTGGAAGGAAGGACTGTGGAAAGGAAATCAAGTCCTTCCTTCACACATCCGTTCCTCAGAAATAAATAGATTTATGAAGCAAAAGTTCTCTGCTTGGTTTCCTGGACTTTTCCAGGAAAATAGATGAAATGAGCTTATTGATATCTTTTGATAGTCTTACATTTAGTACACTAACAAAAAACAAAAACTTAATCTGCTCTTGAGAATTCAAAATACAATTTAAGGTTTTTTTAATGTCAATAGTAAATCTAGAATCTGTATGTACTTTTCTATGTATATCATACTATGATACTTGATTAATTTAAATCTAAAAGCCAAAGGTTTACTAAGTCATTTACCCCCCCCCCAGTATATTTTTCTGGCATAATGTAGTCAAAATTCAGTTTTAGGGACGTTAAGCTTATTGAGTTATTGGGCTTGTAATTAGCAAAAATCAGAAACCTGTATTGCTGAACATATTAATAGGATCCACAAAAGATTAACGATTACTTTAACTTCCCAAAATATACACTTAACTGCTGCGTCTTTAAAAAAAATATATGGAGTAATGCAAGCTTGAAGAACAGTTCTTTAAAGAATAGTTCTCTCTTCACTAGTCCTTCTCCTTTTTCATGGCTTTCCCAAGTTTGCAGGCACTGATTTCTTAACACTTCCTTCCCATATTCTCCCCTTTGACACCAATGCAATTTTTTCCTCCTATCTTTACTGCATAGTCATTACTTTGATGCCAGAATGATCAAAACAAAGAGAACAAGTTTTTCTTCGGTTTCTGTGTTCTACTGTGGCTCTACAGAAACTTTGTGGTAGAAACAGAAACAAAGAAAAATAGCTTCAAATATGATAGCATTCCAGTACAAGATGCATAGGATGAAAAATAAAGTACCGTATGCGTCATCCAGCCTGGGAATAACCCAAAAGGACACCCCAATGGAAGATGAAAGAGTGCAATGCAAGTGTGCTGTCAAAACATGTAACAAAAACATGGTGACTAAAAACACTTTACTGGATTTCATGGGCTTTTAGAGTCATTGATAAATCAAATGGAAGGAAAAAAGTGCTGCTGGTCAAATGAGAACATAGCAGCCCAGAATGAAGTAGGTTTATAGGCAGTGACTAACCATTGGAGAGGAAGGGGTATATCTGGTACTGTGGCCAACTAAATTTGAAAAATTCCCTAGACTGGAATGAAACAAGGTAGACTAATTGCTCACAAACACTTCAGATAACTTAGGATAGAAAGTATTATTTCTGAACTAGAATTTCAAAACATGAGCAAGGGGTGCATTTGCAATGGATTGGGAATGCATGGAGAATGGTATTGGCCGATCCTGCACTCAAGAAACAGTGGGTAGCCTGTATAGGCAATAATATAAGCAGAATCTAGTATTCCGTAAAGTTGAAATTTAGTTCCTGTTAGAATAAATATAACAACATTTTTTCTATTTGTTCAATAAAAACGTTATGATTTACAAGCAATACATTCAGGAATTTTTTTAATAGGATATATTTATATTATTATTCCAAGGTTATAATGCATAAATAAGAAAAAAAGATATTCGTGATGGAAAATTGGGATGCAGGCAGTATTCAAACCACACTCCCACGGGTCCGTGGAAAAACCTTTCCCCAAGGCACTGGTCTCTGGTGCCCCAAAGGTTGGGGACTTCTGGTATAAAAGGTAAATATAGAAATATTATTTAATTGTATTTGCCGTATTTGATTGTTAGAAATACAATTCTAGAGGTCAAATATTAATTCACATAGCTTGTGCTTATCCTACTGCTGTCAGATTTTGGACTAAAATTCAAATTTAACAAATTAACATGATTTTAAATTAAAATGCATACGTTCCTCTTGATTGTATCCTCAATATCTGGACTCTATGAAGACTGGTAAACTCTTTGCACATGAACAATGAAAGGGTTTGTTTTTGTTTTCTGTAATATCACATTTAATCAGAAATATGTGTATTATTTTTGCTAATTTATGTGATACAGTAATATTACATAAGATATATCAGGACTTTATTGGATACAAATTATCTTATATGTTACTTAGAATTCATAATTTTTTATAGTTTAGAATCCAGAAGTGACTTCTGGGGGAAAATGTAAACTCATTAAGCAGTTATTAAAAATAGCATTTCAAATATCTGTGCTTACCACCAATATTTGTAATAGATTCTGGTCCAATAAGCTGATTTTCAAATAATCTTTCTGCTTGTCGAAGCTTAACATTTGGCTCTAAAGCACCAGTAAGAAGAGGAGGTTCTTTAAAGCTGTCAAGAAGAAAGATTTTCATAAGCATACAGAAGAAATTAATATAAATTAATGTTTGAGTTTACCAAGTAACTTAGATGTATTAGATATTTTTCAAAAACAGCATAGTTCAATTTATCCAAAGCAATTTATGCAATTATTAATTTAATATTTGGTAACAATTTCTGTACGCTTAAGGTTCAAGCCAATGAAGTGGGTAACAATTTTAACAACATTAAACATTACAATTAAAAAGAAAAAAGTAATGCAAACTAAAAAAATTAAGAGTAAAGAAAAAATAGAAAAGAATTGAAAGAAAAACAAAAAAGGAGAAATATATTAAAGAAAAACTATATTAAGAAATGATTTCCGCCTTCATCACAACTATAAACAATTTTAGTAACTTATCCACTTCTGTTAAAATACAACAAACGATCTCTTCTCCCCATATTCCACCTCTTATCTATAAACAAATCCTTAAAGCCTCATCATTCAGTCCAGGTCAGCAAAAGTTCAATAAGAGTTACCAGAAATAGCAACATATCTACTTTAACCTTGATCAAATAAACCATATTTATATTCCTTCCTTTTATTTTTGACAACTGTGGTTTTTGATCCTTTCACATATTGTCCTAAATTTGATTTTATTTCATTTTTTTATTTTTTCTTTCCCTTAAAATCCTTCAAAACATTAATAGGTCTCTTTTGTAAATCCAATATGGAACAGTTATCTGGGTTAACCTTTTGAAATTGTTATTTGTATGTAACCTGTAATTATTAAAACATCAGTGGGTTTCATTTGTATATCCAATATATATTGTTTTCCAAATTATTCTTGTCACCTAGCATTTTTAAATTCCTGTTCATATCCAGTCTTGCATTAATTGACCTCTTGGTGGGTTTTGGTACCATCGACCATGGTATCCTTCTGGACAGATTCAGAGAACTGAGGGTGGTTGGGCATGGTATTGTGTTGGTTCATCTCCTTTCTTTGGAATCAATTCCAATTGTGGTGATTGGGATCTCACCTTCCGCCCTTCAGCGTGGTGTGCCCCAGGGTTCAGTGCTCTCTCCTCTCCTATTTCACATCTATATGATACTATTAGATGAGGTTATCTGTCACCATGGGGTGAGATACCATTAGTATACTGATAATATCCGGTTATATATCACTGCCTCTTGTTGTGACAGTCTTATGCCAGTGTAAGTCTTTAAAGGTCTGGATGGGGAACAATAGGCATTAGCTAAATTTTGAGTGGCTTTTGGTTTGGGGGCCTATGGTTTTTGGACTGTAGTAGCTATTTATTTATTTATTTATTTAATAAAACGCAATGCAGGCTAAAGAAAGTAATTATATTACTGAAGACAAAAAAAATGCTTATAGTGTTAAAGAGCTGATATCCCCCAAGGTCATCCACACATTCCTTTACACTTTTCTACTGACTTTGGTTGCAGAAAAACGGCAAAAAGTTGTCTTGCTTAACGTTAACTGTAGGATTCGATTAACAATGGAACTACAGGGATTGCTGTTGCTAAGCGATGAGATTGTGCTTTACAACTGGATCGCTTAAGACAGAGATTCTGGTCCCAATTGCTATCATAAGTCAAACATAACTCGTATCGGCTTAAAGATTGGCTACAAGCAGTGCAGGATGAATGGAAAATTGAATGCTTAGCAAAATATTCAAAATGAGCAGAAAATAAGAGAAGAATGAGAAGCGTCTCCTGGAAGTTTTTAAGATTTAAAAGATTTATTTAAGATTAAATAAAATAAAAACTGCACTTTACCTATACTGATGAGAGAAAAAAGTGCAAAAATACACAAAATGAACAGAGAAGCTAAGATAAGACTGCAAGGAGATGTGCACAGAGCAAGAGCTACTACTGTGTGACTAATATGTCACCCTATGCTTTGGCTGAAAAGGATAGCGAGTCACGAGATAACTGACAACGACAAGTTCTAGCTTGTACATTGAATACCAAAGAACAATGGTTAAAAACAATGACAACTTTTTAAATTAAATATATTGTATCTGTTAAAATGTAATGTTTAGGAAGGAGCAAACAAAAGCAGTATAGGGCACCATAAGTTCATCTGTTAATTTGGAAGATACAAAACAGTTGTCTTTTCATTTCCGTACAACTGTAAGTAATGGCACAACCATTTTTCTAAACAATTGACTACAGCGCTATTCTATTCATAAAGCTAAAAGGCCCTCATAACAATGGCCACAGTGAATGTTTAAGTCACATGCAAAATTCTGATATTAAAGATGCTTATGTACTCACCTAATAGGCTGAGGGTCTATTGGACAATCCAGAAAAATGAGCGCTCCAAATAATGGGATAATTAATAACACAGCTAAAGTCATGAAAGTTACACGAAATACCCTGTTGCTGTAAGTACTGTAAAAATAAACAAAACCATAAATTAGAACATGAATATACAAAAGCAACTAACAATGTAGGAGTCCACCTATATCAGGCCAGTAGGTATTCCAGCATTCTAGTTTATATCATTCAGTAGCTAACAAGATGCACTCTCTACATGCTCAAAAAGATGGATAATAGAAAGACAGTGTTGTTCACCAATAAAGTATTTAAATTATGCTATCCCAATTTTTTAAACCATTTTTCTAGCACTGTTAAATATATATTTCAATAAACTGTCTTACCAATTTCAGGACAAGATTACTTTGTCAAGAACTAAATTTCTACTATGCAAACGTGCATTAGAATTTGCAGGTGTGCATGTTTATTTTTCCAGATGAGCCAAATAATTATCTCAAAATATGCTAAGTAGGAATCTGGGAGTTGAAATGTAAGAAATTTAGAGGACATTCGGTTGGGAAAGATTGCTTTATAAATTATATAATTTGAGGTTAGACTTCAAACCTCAATATAGACGCTGAAAAAGAATTTAAGTGGGAGAAACAGAAATTCTGTGGATAAAATCAACTTAAATCTCACTCTTCTAAAGTAAATGTTCCTTTAATAATTTCAAGATTTTTTTAAAACACCAGCAAATCATTAGTAAATGGAAAAAGAAGTAAATAAAATATCCAAATCCTACTTGATACATTATTTTCTGTGCCTCTAGATACTGTATGGTCACAAAGCTTCCCTCCTTAACAGTAGTATGCAGTCTTTGCTCAAGTAAAACAAATTTCTCCAATATATAACTTCAGTTCTAAGGCATGGGGGTACTACAATACTTTGGATGCTAGTTTTGTATGGGGTATAGTTGTGTGTTTGTTAGGGTTTTTTCCAGATAAAAATGCAGTCTACTCTGCTTAAAGGATAGTAAAATTGCAAGGATTTGAAGTATAATTAAACAGTTGAAATATGTGTAGAATACAAGGTGGGCAACCTGAGGCCTCAGAACCACACCAGTCTCTCAAATTCTCTTTTTGCAACTGTTGGAGATCACTCTATCAAGACTGCTGAAAACTAATAGCTGCCATTTTCAAGTATGAAATGAGTGAACATTTCTTGCAATCCTCAGAGGCATCCCTGCCCAACATAAAAAACAATTTACAAATCTTCTATTACCATATTTCCAAATCAATAAGTTGTCTTATTTCACGAACATCTGCCATTTACAGAAAGTTCAGGGTTTTTTTTTTTACAGAGGTATATAAATGGAACAGGCACCAAATTTGTAATATTCTGTTAGTGTAGAAGATGGATACAAGCCTATGATACAACAGCTTTAGCATTAGCTAAATATTACAAAAAAAGTAACAAGATTTCAGCCCTTCTGTTAAGAAGTATGTCTATAAGGTTCTTGATTCTGGGTAGACTATGAAAAATAGCTTTGCGCAAATTACTTGAACTTTGAACAAAACTGAGAAGCTTTTCTCTGTTTTGTGGCTTGATTAAAATAGACATAATATATTGAACTATTACATATGACATTTAAATCATTGCTTTCACAATATGAAATTTGCAAACAGGATGAAAACTGTCTGAACAAGCCAAATATAAAATTTCATTCACAAAAAATATGACTAAAATTCTATGCATCCTTGGAAATAATCAGTGTCTTATTTACACATAAATAATGCAAGATTGGCATATAAAGTTATAATGTGGTGCCTGCATTAGTTCCCAAAAATAACACAGAAAGGGGGAAGGGAGTTTTTAATGTAACATTCATAATGATTATGCTATTTGAGGATTCTGAAAAATTCATATAGGTAGTCCTCAACTGACAATTGAGCCCAACATTTCTGTTGCTAAGCAAGGCAGTTGTTACGTGAGACATGCCCCATTTTACTAAATGTTTTTGCCATGACTGTTAAGCAAATCAGTACAGTTATTAAATGAATCATGTGGTCATTAAGCAAATCCAGCTTCCCCCATTGACTTTGCTGGTCAGAAGCTGCCTAGGAATGTTGCAAGTGATAATTGCAGAACCCTACGATGTGAATACATGCCAGTTGCCAAGCATCCAAGTTTGATCATGTGACTGTGGTCATAAGTCAACTTTTTCAATGCCCCTGTAATTTTGGTCATTAAATGAATGGTTGTAAGTTGAGGACAACCTAGAGCAGGGGTAGGCAACCTTGGCTCTTTTATGACTCGTGGACTTCAACTCCCAGAATTCCTGAGCCAGCATGACCTAGAGCAGTGGTTCTCAACCTGTGGGTCGGGACCCCATTTGGGGTCGAATGACCATTTCACGGGGGTCGCCAAACCACGCTGTCCGCCATTTTTTCCCTTTTCCCTAGCTGTCCTACTCCCTCTTATTGGTGGCCACACCCACTTGGGGGTCACCACAACATGGGGAACTGTATTATGGGGTCATGGCATTAGAAAGGTTGAGAACCACTGACCTAGAGAATGTTTCCCTAATTCACTTCTCCCATCTCAAGTTTATAATATAAACAAGTACCAATTAGTAAGCTATTTCTTGCAGATTGCCAAAAGGCAATGATAATGCAACACACAAAATCAACAATTTTGCAAGAACATGTTTACTCTTAGAAAAAGAGAATAGTCCCTGCTACTACCTTCTCATAATAACTCTTGATACATGAGTTGGGCTGTGAGTGAATGACTGGTTACCCAACCAGCTTGCGTGTGTAAAAGAGGATTAGGACTCACAACCCCCCACTTTCTAATCCAGTACCTTTACCATTACAACAAAGTGGCTCCTGATAACTACTTCCATATATTATATTAAGAAAGGCACACATTTCCTCAAATATGTATATATGTATTCAACTGCAATGCAAATTACACCAACTGCAACTATATATTAAGAAGCTATTATATGTCCTCTAGATCAGTGGTTCTCAACCTTTCTAATGCTGTGACCCCATAATACAGTTCCCCATGTTGTGGTGACCCCCAACCACTTATACATCACCGGGTGCCAGGAGCGTGGCCAAAGAAAAGGGGGAAAAAATGGCAGACAGCCTTGTTTGGCGACCCCCGTGAAATAGTCGTTCGACCCCAAATGGGGTCCCGACCCACAGGTTGAGAACCACTGCTCTAGATTGAGGAAGGAAGGTAGTAAATATATTAAACATGATTTAACTTTAATTTTATTATAGCACTTATATATGTACTAAAGTACATAGGATATCACATTCTTCTCTTGAAAGCACAGAAACCTACAAATATCTAATACTATATTTTAAACACTGAAATACCTAGAGGTTTTAAACACAGTATAATTGTATCCTGCATTTTGATGATTATCTTTTCCAAAGAAAGGTTATTTTTTAATATTGCATAAAAGTATTAAATGTTAACATTTAACTTGTATACTTTTAAAAGAAAACATCTGATAGCTTCAGACAATATTCATAGTTTTGCAGAAAGAAATTAGTTACATTTAGTGATGTTTCAGATACAAATCTCCAAATGATTTTTTAAAAATCAACTTATAATCGATGCTCTTGCAAAGTAGGTCCAGATATCTGTACATTAAGCTTTTAAACTTTTCACTTTTTCTATTTAGAGAACCATTCTCTCTCTATAATATTTCTTTTTCAGAAAAGTTTATTAGATATGATTGCTTAACCCAGTGTTTCTCAACCTTGACAATTTTAAGGCATGTGGACTTCAGCTCCCAGAATTCCACAGCCAGCAATGCTGGCTGTGGAATTCTGGGAGCTGAAGTCCACATGCCTTAAAATTGTCAGGTTTGAGAAACACTGACTCCCATCTCTAACTCCAGAACCTTACCAAGAGAGCCAGTTTGGTCCAGTGGTTAAGGCAACAGATTAGAAAAGAGGCCATGAGTTTGTGTCTTGCCTTAGCCATGAATGCCAACTGGAGAGGCCAACTGGAGAGGCCAGTCACTCTCTCTCAGCCCAACTTACCTCACCAGGATTGTAATTGTAGGGAAAATAGGAGGAGGAAAATGTGTTGGTTATGTTCACTACTTTGAGTTACTTGTAAAAATAATAAAGGTGGGATATAAATAAATGTACTATTTCTTAGTAAATGAAAGTTTTTAAGAACCTATGCAACTACAGCTAATTACTGTATGACTTAGAAGGAAAAAATATTGCTTTTGTAAGTCTCCATCATAAGAAAATTTTCTTTGCATACCATCAAGACCTTTACATTTTATAGAGAAAGGTGAAGAGAATGGGGGAAAAAATAACAAGCTATGAACACTTTGGTTAGAAGTTAAAATTGCTTAATGTAAGAAAAACAAACATTCTACCACCTATGAGAAGGATAATCCTTTTCATCAGCTGTATGTGTTACGTGAATATATAAAAATTGTTGTGAGAAAAAAATGACATATTACCCTAAGTGCATTTTGTTTATTTTGTAGAGGTCGTTTTAAAAATAACTGTCAAGAATAATGATATTTACTGTTTTTTGTCAAGTCAGAGAAAGAAAAGAAAGATATTTTCATCCTGTGACCCATTCCCCTTCTCATAAAAATCCAGACCTACTCTTCCAGACCTCTGAGTTGCAATTCCCACCTATTTCAATCGAGCCTAGTCACATCAAAAGCCATTTCTCCCCTGGATCTTTAGAGACCACTTATTTTATTTTTAATGGCATTCCATTAATGGTCTTTGACTTCAGCCTTTGGCTTTTTTTCGTAGAGCATTCTTAGCAGCAAAGGCTGTGGAATATTTATTATTCCTAAACACCAATGGATCTGATCACTAAGGCCTCCCAAGAGACCTAAACCCGTGAGAATCTAGCAGGGAAAGGTTAGCGCTTATCTCGCTCGGTGCTGTCTCCCTCCCTCCCCCCCCCGGACACCACGCTCTCCGCGCGAGCTGCGGAAGGAGAAGAACCGCTCGCGCCGCTCTATCCTGGGCTCTCCCACCGTATTAGTGTCGGTAAGCGGGGCAGGAGGAAAGAGACGATGACGCCCTCCAAATCTTCGCCCTTTCCGAAAGCCGCGGTGGTGTCCCCCATCCTCCCCGGGACGAGGGAACGCCGAGAGGCCAGGAGAACAGCAAAGCCCTCCCACGCACCTGCTATCCTTGACTGCCTGCGCCGCGTTCTCTTCGGTGAGCACTTGCGGCCGAACGGGCCGACGCTGCCGCAGGCCTTCAGCCTCATTCATGTTGCGATGAACGTCCCTCCGAGATACAGAAACCAACCACGGTCGCTCAACCGCGCCGCCGAAGCTCGCTTGAGAAAACCGAAGAGCAGCGCCGCTTCCCGACCCACACCACGAAACCCCGCCTCTGGCTCCAGGTTGCCACATAGAAGCCACGCCCCCACCTCGACTTGCGTCCGAAGGCCGCCATGCCGCCCCACCCCCTCGGCTGAGCTTGGCCAATAATTGTCGCGCCACAGACCCGCTCCTCCTTTCAGAAACGCCCATCCACGATCTCGTCCTAAAGCAGCAGCAGCAGCTGCGCACGGTCCACCGAGGGTTTTTAAGGGGAGCTATGCAGGTCTGGGCCTGCTTCAGAGGTGGCCCCAACTTCTCCCATATCCATCCTCCCTGATAACCCAACAGCCTCCATAGAGCCATGCCCCATCGCTCTTTTGGCGATGACTGGCAAAGGCCAGTCACTGCTGCCTACACATAAACCGCCCCGTTTCCTCTTTAATTGTCTAATGCAATTCTTTCTTGCCCCCTTCAGGGAGATGCCGCCATCCTTAACCGCTTAAGTTCAACGAATCAGCTACGCCCACGCCCCACTTCACTGCTCACTTGGAGTGAGAGTTGCTTCCTCGAGGGGGCGGGGTCAGTAGAACACCCACTTACTGTACTTTCCACGTGACAAGAACTCTGGAAACACTCTTGTTCCGAAAGGCTGATTATGTTTGGAGAGAATCTTGGGGAAAAACTTGAGCGAGCCGGTTTCATCATACCGAAGCCTCGTCCACCCCATTGCTGGCAATGCAAAAAGTCTCGACACGTCACGTGACGAGTTTGACACCCGTGTAAGGGATATTACCATGAATTGGAAAGGGGAGAATCTCACTAGGAAAGACAATACGTATTTTGTTTACGAGTTTGAAGTGAGGTGGGATGTAGACTGATAGGGGAATCTTGCTGTGATTTGTATGATTTTTGAAAGGCATAGAAGGGAATAGTTAGGACATTGTATTGAAAAGACAATTAGAGACATACTTCAGATGACTCTAATAGGTGCAGCATTATTGCACCTCTAAACGCTAAAGATGAAGCCCAAGCTACCAATATTAAATAAGATAAAAATGTCAATTTCCATCACTTACTGTGTAAAAAGTTGATTCTTATTGAGACTGGCATTTTCCATAAAATTTTACCACTGTGTTTGTGGGTGCCTTTGAGTCAGTGCTGCTTCTTGGACATTGCTTGGACTAGTCTCTGCAGTTTTCTTGGCAAGGTTTTTCAGAAGCAGATTGCTCTTGCCTGCTTCTTAGGGTTGAAAGAGTGACTGGGCCAAGGTCACCCAACTGATGTTTTGCACTGAATTCATAAAATTGTTCCTTCGTTCTTGTATTGTATATGCTCAGGCTCATGTATATCAGCAATATTTAGATACATAAAAAGAAAGTTACCATAGTCTGCTGTAGTGGTTAAGGTGCTAGTCTGGAACAGACATGTCAAACTTGTGACGTCACGCGACATGCGCAACGTATCGGAGCTTTTTGGCCATTGCCGGAAATGGGGTGGACGTGGCTCCAGTATGATGAAACCGGCCTGCGGGCTGGCAGTTTGACACCCCTGGCCTAGAAAGTAGGAGGTTATGAGCCCCCACCTTAGACATGAAAAACCAGCTGGGTGACTTTGGGGCAGTCACATCAGGTCAACTTACAAGGTTGTTTGGGGAAAATAGGCAGACGAAGGAGTGGTATGTTTACTGCCTTGAGTAATACATAAAAAATATAAAAATATACGTTTAATAAGAATATTATATGCCTGTTCATAATTATATGCAAATGCAACATTGTAACAATTCAGTTTGTCCAACTACAATCAACCATAATTTGCCACGTTATACATAAGTAGTGATAAACAGTTTTGACTTTAATTTGGCTTTCAATTTTTGTAAACTGAAAATTGTATCATACAAAAAAGATCACTGTGTTTTTTTAAAGAAATTCACATAATTTAAAGTATGGAGAGCTTCAGTTCATCTGATAAGACAAAATTAGGAAAAAAGTACAGTAAGACTGATTTTAAAAGAATGCTTTATATCTTTGGCAAAAATATTAAGGCTAAATTCAAACTTACTCCTTAAGTTTCCACACTCTGTTTAACAAAGGCAGAATATGTCTTAAATAGCAGTTTGAAAATGATTTTTCCATGCTTTCAAAGAAAGATAAAATATAAATTCAATGTAGCAAGAGATAAACTGTTACAATACATTCTTTTCAGGAAAAAAATATTTGGATTTTACATGAATAAGTATAGCTCTTTAATATATCAAGAATAAAACTGATAGTTCCTTTTGCTTCTTCAACTTGTTAACAGAACTCATCTTCACAATCATCCATTCATCATAGAGTAGGGTGCTTAAGTTTGTATTTCTCATACATTTCAAGTATTTCCTCTATGACACTGGGATCATCTAGTGTGGTAATATCTCCCATATCACTAATATTATCTGTCACTATTCTCCGTAGCAACCGTCTCATGATTTTCCCTGATCGAGTTTTGGGAAGACGTTTCACTACCTGTTCGAGAAATAAAAAAGTATTATAAGTAGTATTACTTTAAATAAAGATAGCTGAATATCTAAATAGTTACTTCCTTGAGTTTTCTTCTATGCATTCACTTATATGAATGTGTGCCTATGCAGAATTTTGTAGAATCTTTCAAAACTAACAAGGTAAACAGCCCCTACCCCAGCTGCTCATACAGCTATTCTAAGATCTTCACATTAGCCTTGAAAAAAAAGGAATACTCATTAATAGTTAGGTGGAAGACAGGATGGATGACTGAATTTACAGATGACCAATTGAAGACTCACTACTAAAAGTAAGTAAAGAAGGCTGCCAAAGCCTCAAATAGGGCCTCCTATCTAAACAAGTTAGATTATTGTCACAAATAGATAAAGCTAATAGTCCAGTGGTGGCAAACCTATGGCACGCGTACCAGAGGCGGCACTCGGAGCCCTCTCTGTGGGCACATGTACCAGGGCCCCCTCCTCACTAGCAGGCCCCTTCTTCACCAGCAGCCCCCCTAGAGGGGAGTCACCCCCGAGCGTGGCCCACACAGAGCAGCGCACCCAAGAACATAGCAGCCAGGCAGTGTAGACAAGACTCTGCCCTCATGCCCCATCCTGCACAGTTGATGCTGCGGGGCGCGGGCAGAGGGTGTGGCCGCCATGGCGCTGCTGGGCTGCCTGGGTGATCTGCGACGGGCCCTGGAGGCGGTGAGTGGTCCTGCAGGCAGGCGGGGTGGGGGCGGGGCAGGGCCAGTTTTGGGCACTCCATCTCTAAAAGGTTCGCCATCACTGTAATAGTCCTAACACAACATTAAATTTATTGAGAAAATAAGTATCTAAAACAGTATGCAAATTGTCAAATCAGGAAGCAAAGCAAATAAGAGGGTTTCTTGTAGTATTGAATCGGCTTCACCATAAACAGATTGCTCCCTAAATACCTGCTTAAATACTGCTGGCCTTGATCAGATTTGGCATTCTAAACACCAGTTACTCCTATGACTCTCTGTTTTCTCATTTTTATTCTCAGACATCAGCATTCTCAAGGATTAAGTAGAGGAAGCTTCTGGTCTTGGTTAGAGTCTCCTCTTTCCAAGCTAGGGATTAGGGATATTATAATAATTAGCATAATTATTATAAAATGGAAATACTAGTTTGGCTCTTTGGTTATCTTTTCCTGGTTTTTTTCCTAATCTGAGAAGACTAGGATAATCCCCCAAGTTAGTGAAGTACAACACCCTAAGGCAAAATGGCTTCCAATAATGAAATGTTGGCAATGTGCATCTTTCACTACATAAATGAATCGGAGGGTGAACTCATTAATGAGAAGCTTCATGTAATTTAAGCAAAGCAAAAAAAACCCACAAGAATTCTAGAAGTGAAACTGTTTTCCAGCTAAGGAAAGGTCACCATCACTGCTACAGAATTGCAAAACAACTGAAATGGACATCCATGGGGGGAAAGGGGTGTCAAAAACATCAAGATGGCAATTGCAACCTCATGATTAAAGCCACCATTTCCACAGTCCCTGGCCTCAACCCAGATCCCTGATAGTAAGGCATCTGTACAATAAGAGCTATAAATTCTACTATCTAATATCATTCTTATATGTGGTGCACTTTTTAAAGATTTTTTTAAAATAGCTTAAGACACTAACAGTTCAGATACGCTGGGAAAGTTTTCCATTTCAAAAGTGTTCTAAGGAAGGACATTTAAATGCTTCAGTCTGCAGTTTGGAATAAAGATCAAATATTAACTGAAATCCTATTGGAGTAGAGACACTGCAGTTACTCTTTCAGGACAGCCCTCCCCAAAGCTATAAAATTCACCACCACTACAGAATTCTATGCTATCCCTCAAGTTATCTTCCTCTCTCTTATGTATAGTTGCTATTATTTTAATAATATACATAAAGGCACTTCATCAGTATTTCCATGTCCCATATTTAAATATACCCAGAAGGGAGAGAAGGCTACCATTACCCCTAGTCAACATTGATAATAGCAGATTTTCATTACAAGAAATCATGGTTTACTAAAATTAAAAAAAGATTGTCCATTTGAACTGGAATGCTTATATAAAACAATCATTGTTTTAATATTAAATATTTTACTTACATTTATATGCCACCCATTTCACTATCCAAAGTGACTCTGGGTGGCTAGAAATGGCATGAAAGCATAAAGATAAGCACATTAAAACAATAAAATTAACTATTAAATAAACTTTAAAAACCAAGAGCACAAATGGAATGGAGGTGGGCTTATGTCTCTCACTCAACCAACCACTTCCAGCATAGCACACTCCAGTTGAAGGCAACCAAGCCAACAGGCAAAGTTAGGTTTTAAGGCCCTTCTGGAAAGCCATAAAGGAGGAGGTAGATCTCACTTCCAGTGGCAAGATGTTCCAGAGGGCAAGGACCACAGTAGAGAAGGCTCTTCTCCTACATCTGTTAGCTGAAATTCCTTGGTCATATCCCATAAACAATGAAGAGATTATTTTCAGATGTTTTTCCTTATAAAAAATGTATAATATTGAAATACTTACTAGAACATGTTCAGGAACAGCATATTTTGCTATCTTGGTAGCAACTATTGCCTTTACCTCTTTGATAATTATATCTTTATCTGCCATGTCATCTTTTAACACTATGAAAGCTAATGCAACTGGAAAAAAGGAATACATTTATTATTTATTTGATTTTTTAACTCCACCTTTATTACTTTGTAAATAATTCATGACCCTGAACATATATAATGCTACTACTGCTGCTTCCCCCCCCCCAGAACAACAACCCTATGAGGTGGGTTGGGCTAAGAGAGAGACTGGATCAAATTCATCTTGCTGGCTTTCATACCTAAGCTGGTACTAGAATTCACAGTCTCCTGATTTCTAGATCAACATTTAACCACTACCCCAAACTGGCTCTTCATTAGCTTTCTACACTCACATTTTCTATATATTGATGCCCGTTAATGTCTATTAATGCATATACAGTAGCTAGATGTAACTTTATCATTATACTAGAGAACAAATATTTTTCAGATTGCACCAAGAATAGTGATCTGGTCTGAGAGCTTTTAGGTCCAACAACCTTTTCACAGTGGTTGAAAAGTAATGCTACTACAGTACTACAATTATTCTGATTCAAAATTTTAAACTTAAATCACATTCCTTTGCAATAGTTTCCATGCATGTAATACATTATAATACCGTTATATATATGCTTTGAAAAAAACATTATTCAAGTATCAGTTTCTGCCAAACATCCTTGTTCATTTTCTCTTCAATTATGTCAGTAAAAGTCCTGACATGAACAAAGCAATTCATAAATATACAGTTAAATGTTTTCCTAATTATTTTAAAACATTTCAGCCTCTTACCTTCTCCTTTGATATCATGAGGATAGCTAATCACAGCTGTTTCTGGAACTGCAGGATGTTCATCCTTTTGAAAAAAAGATGATTTGGAAAGAAATAGTAAACTGATAAATATAGTAATGTATGCAGAAAATATTTAAAATGCAAATATTAATGAAACCTGAAGCCTTTCTTCTGGGTATTATGGATAAACTGACAGAAAAACAACTTGGGACTTTATTTTTATACATCGTAACTGCTGCAAGAACTGCATATGCCAAATACTAAGACTTGAAAAATGGATCCTAAATTGACCAAGCTGGCAGACATGGTGAAATTAACTGTGCTAATTAGAGACAATGGTTTGGACAAGTTTATAAAAGATTGGAGACCATTTGTGGAGTTTCTCTGTGTTAAATACAACAATGGACTGTTAATAGTTTTGAAGATTAGTTTAACTTTTGGGTTACCAGTTAACAGCTTTTTTACAGTGAACAGAAATTGGGTCGATTTGATTGATAGACAACAGAATTTTTATATTTGGGATATTTGTGTGATTTAAAATAGTAATTTAGTAAATATAAATTGGAAAATTTATTAGACTTGTTTCAGTTATATTTATCAACATTCAGTTAGAGTGGACAATGTATGATTAGTGTTAATTGTATATCTGTTACATATACATTTTTTCTTTTTTACCCAGTGTTACTTTTTTTCATCTTGGTTGTAGCTTTTCCTATCTTTTGAAATCAATATAAATTTAAAAAATAGTAAACAAAATAGGCATTGTTCCTGGCATAATGTCAAAGCTTTTGAAAAATTTCTATGAGCTGAGCCAAATCTCAGATTCGTATGTATGCATGGAATTATATATGCATGTAATACAAGCTCACAAATAAGGTGATAAATCTGTGATTATAGACCTATAATGTCACTATAAGTGAAATTCACATATCAGAAACTCTTGTAGGAATATGCCCTGCCATGCAGTCTGTCACAGTTTTAGTAGATACAGGCCTACCAAGCCTTCATTTTGCATAAACTAAAGAAACTTGACTAAATTGATGAACTGTTTCCATTGTATATACTGCATTTGAGTTAATATCAGATGAAAGAACCCACCTATGGTGACTAATCCATAACGGTTGCAAGAGGTCTTTTAGTGCCACACTCAAATCTAAATTAACCATGGGAGCCAGCCATTCAAATCTTCTCATTGTTCTAAATAACTATCTTTCAATTAGTTTAAAAGAGTACATTATTGGAGCCTACTTTTTTTTTTGACCCAATAATTACCATGGCATCTTCAATTTCTGCAGTTCCAAGCCTGTGTCCACTGATGTTTAGAACATCATCCATTCGCCCTGTTAGCTGATAATAACCTTCCTTAGTTCTATAAGCAGCATCTCCTGTGAAATAATATCCTGTGGGAATAATAGGTTTAGTAAATGTGGAGATTCGCTTTTTGTGAAGAGAAAAATATAGTCAACAGACATAGTTCATTATCTCTGGGAAAATAATGTAAATATGTTGCATATCACCACTCGCTGATATGCAATTATAACAGGAGAACATAGCACACTGCATTTATAATACACATCTACTAATTTATCAGAGTATGAAACAAACATTTAATAAGATACGCATTATATGGAAATGTGTGGAATGAATCAGGGAATTCTGGGAGTGGAATTCAGGTGCATTGCAGAAATTGATTCTACCAGAATGTGGTATTGGCTCAGTGTTATCACTTTAGATTCTTGAAAATAAGACAATGTTGGATGCCAGACTTCATTCTGCAGCATGCTGGCTTTCTACTTTTCTTAAATTGAAGTATTTTTAAATATAAAATATAATTGAGACAGGAAATCTGCGGGCAATGATGGATCAGTCAATTGGGAACATTGTTGAGAACCCAGGATGTGTGACAACTTCTATGGAGATTTATTGTGATTAGTCTTCACTTATCAACAGTAATTGGGATTGGAATTTCCATTTCTAAGCAATACAGTCAGAAAACATAACATATGTGACTGTGCCGCTTAGCAATAGCAGTTCCAACAGTCTCCAGTTACTGTCAAGTGAGGACCTCATGGATTCATTAAGCAAAGACCTCATGCGACTGTTATTTCCAATTTCCTGCCAGCTTTCCCACTGACTTTGCCTGGGAGAATCTGAAGGGAAGGTCACAGATTGCAATCATGTGACTGCAGGATGCTGTAAAAGTTGGAAATCCAGGCTAGTTGCCAAGTGTCCAGATTGCAATCATGTTATAATGGCAGTAGTACAACAATCGGAACTTCAAGGGCTAGTCTTAAGAACTGCTTGTACAAGTACCATTGCAAATTCAAATGGTCAATAAACAAGAGGTTGTTAACCAAGGAACACCTGTGTTATTAATATATTGCAACTATTTTGGAATTCAATTCATTTTTATACTTTAGCATTTAGGCCCGTATGAATGATAAAGTAAGAAAATTTGCAAAGATATTTCAGAAAGTTTATTCAATTAACATCTGTTATGCATGTAAAAGTGTGCATGAATACTTCTTTGGTGTACAGACTGTTGCTACACTATTTTTAAATGGTGCAAAGAAAGTATAACATAACTGATAAACAGAAAATTCAACTCGCCAAAAAGACAAATCTTCAAATAGCTAAAAAAGTTAAATATTTAGGTATCTATCTTACGGTGAAATATTCATTACTAAAAGAAGATAACTATGAGAGACTAATAAAACAAATAAAAATCAACCTGGAAAAATGGGAAAATCTCCAATTATCATTGTTAGGAAGAATAGCGATTGTTAAAATGAACATTTTACCAAAGCTAATTTTTTTTTTATTTCAAACAGTTCCTGTAAAGCTGGGTAAGAAATTTTTTGACAATTTAAAGGCAATGATATTAAGATTTATATGGCAAAGAAAGAAAGCAAGAATTAAATGTAAACTTCTACAAGACTTGAAAGAGAGAGGAGGTTTTGGACTTCCTGATTGGAGACTTTATTATCAAGCAACTACTTTGCTTTGGCTTAAAGAATGGATTACTCTGAGAAATAAGTGAATTCTCTATTTAGAGGGATATGACCTTCAACTAGGCTGGCATGCCTTTTTATGGTATGAGAAAGCTAAAATACATAAGTACTTTCAAAACCATGCTATAAGAAATGTTTTACTCTCTGAATGGGAGAAAGTTAGACACAAAATGTATATGAAAATTCCTGAGTGGCTTTCAACGATGGAAGCATTTGCTTATCCGAATCTGATTAATTATGATAAACTTGTTAGTTATAAAGACATTTTGGATAAGGATGGAAAACTCAAAGAACATGAAGGAAGAAAAATGTAAATAAGAAATAACAGGGCACTAAGGACAAATATTCTAAAGAAGAATAAGGGGGGAAATATAAATAATAGATTACCGTTACGCAATCGCTGTAAAAAAAGGGAGAGGAGTATATATTGTGTGTGTATGTGTGTTATGTTTTGCTTTGTTTTGTTGGTTAAAAAAAAAACCAAGGTATTGACTTAACATGGTGGTCTATTTGCAAATTCAAACAAGATATGAAAAAGACATAAAAACAATGGGATTTTACAAAGAGCTGACTCCACTTGATAAAATACTTTTAAAAACAGATGAACATTTGATTAAGGAGCTTTATAAATACTTATTAAATTGGAAGATGGAAGAAGAACAAGTAAAAGAGACAATGATAGTATGGGCGAAGAACTTTGGATATTCTATAGAATTAGAAGACTGGCAAAAACTGTGGGATAAAAATATTAAACTTACTAAAGCAGTAACATACAAAGAAAACTTATATAAAATGTTTTATAGATGGCATATGACACCAGTTCGCTTAGCGAAAATGTTTAAAAATTTATCGGATACATGTTGGAAATGTAAGCAAAAACCGGGTACTTATTATTATGCCTGGTGGACATGTTCTATTGCAAAAAAATATTGGTCTAAGATTCATAGATGGTTAGAAAAGATGATGAAAATCCAGATAGAATTTAAACCAGAACTGTTCCTGTTAGGTATATTAAGACTTCACTACGGCAAAGAAAATGATTATTTAATATTACATGTATTGACAGCTGCAAGAATAGTATTCGCCCAATTTTGGAAAAATGAAAACCTACCATCAGACCAGATTATAATTTTGAAAATCCTAGATTGTGCAGAAATGGACAGATTAACGTTAGAGATGAAGGAGAAAGAGGATTCAATCTTCTATAAAACCTGGGGAAAATTTTATCAGTGGGTTGAAACACTTTAGAATAAGAAGAGATTTTAGAGCTTTATTATATTAAGTATTAAGCTTGATGATTGGAAATAGTTGCTATGCTATCAACTATGTTAATTATTTAAAGGAATATTACTGTTTTACCGAAAGTCAGTTGTAACTATACCGATTGATTCTTATAAATGTCTAGTATTATATAAACAATAACACTCAATATGAAGACTCGGACGACAGTTTGTTCGCTGAATCATGTACTTACTATAGCTATCCACACCCTGTCCCCTTTATCCCGATTTTCCTGTATCCCACCCCGATCCCACCTTTTCCCTACCCATATAAAATCTAATAAAATATATTTTTTTAAAAAAAGAAAGTATAACATAACAATATAGCTATTGTCAATGTACTAAAAACTGCACTTAATATAAAGCATCAACTTCAGTGCATTACTTCAACCAACATTACTTTCTCATCATTCTTCACCTGGGTAAGCATTGAAATAAGCTTCTACAAAACGTGGATGGTCTTCATAGATAGTTCGTGCTATACCAGGCCAGGGTTGTGCAATGCAGAGAGCACCAGAGATATCATTGCCTTCTAAAACTTTTCCCTAGGAAATCAAGTAAAAAACTTCTCTCAATCCATCAATAAAAGAGAATTTCCCCAGAAATTGAATTTAATTTCATATTTATTCTTTCTGTTAATACTTTGTTCAAACCCTTGATAAAGACAATGAACTCAATATGCCTGCAAGCACAGGTAGTCCTTTGTTGAGTGACTGCATTGTTTTAGCAACCATTTGCAATCACACCAGTGATAAAATGTAACACAACTAATCCTTGCATTTATAATCTTTGCAGATCTGTAAAGCAAAGGAAAGCTGAAGTAAGATAGAAGTAAGAAAGCTGAAATAAGCATAGTCAGGGTTTCAATTAGAAACCACTTCACTTAACAACCAAGTTGCCAGTCCCAACTGTGGTTGCTAAACAAGGACTCCTGTATAAATAAAGAAAATTTTTGTGGTGGATAGAAGGGAAAGGATGGGCATTTAGAACTGACAAGCACAGAGCTTCCTCTCTGAAGGACCTCCCTGACAGTTTCCCAGCTGTTCTGATAGAAGACTGTCTCGTGTCTGTGATTAATTATGCGAACATAATTAATTAATTAATTAAGAGCCGAGGTGGCGCAGCAGTTAGAGTGCAGTACTGCAGGCCACTTTAGCTGACTGTGTTCAGCAGGTCAGCGGTTCAAATCTCACCGGCTCAGGGTTTACTCAGTCTTCCATCCTTCCGGGGTAGGTAAAATGAGGACCCAGATTGTTGGGGGCAATGTAAATATATATATACATATACATATACATATACATATACATATACATATACATATACATATACATATACATATACATATATATATATATATATATATATATATATATATATATATACTTGTTTTCTGAGGTTTTCGCGGGTATTTGTATATAGGTCTTTGGTTGTTCGGGTTTTCTCCCGCGTAAAATTGGAAGTGTCTTGGCAACGTTTCGACGAAGTCACATTCGTCATCTTCAGGCTGGTGTTTTTAGCTTCTTGCTTTGAGCAGCAATGTGTGGTTTTAGCTGTTTCTTCCTTTTAACTGCCAGTGAGGGTATGAACTGATTGGATGGGAGCTTGGCTGTGTTCTGATTGGGTGGAGGTGTGTTCTGATCAGAACACAGCCAAGCTCCCATCCAATCAGTTCATACCCTCACTGGCAGTTAAAAGGAAGAAACAGCTAAAACCACACATTGCTGCTCAAAGCAAGAAGCTAAAAACACCAGCCTGAAGATGACGAATGTGACTTCGTCGAAACGTTGCCAAGACACTTCCAATTTTACGCGGGAGAAAACCCGAACAACCAAAGACCTATATATATATATACATATACATATACATACATACATACATACACATTGCTTACTGGTGTACACCGCTTAGAGAGTGCTTGCACTTAAAGCGGTATATAAGTCTCATAAATAAATAAATAAATAAACATTAAAAAGCAAAATATGTTTTCTACATAAATCAATAAAGAACTAATCTAACAATTGAGTGGGAGCAATACATAATACTAATAGTATAATTATAATTATCCCTAATAGTTAATATAACTCACAGTTTAACATTTACATTTTTAAAGTTTAAGAAAATTTTTGAGACAAATATACATTTTGATTGCACAGAAGTCAATGATTTTTCTACCACGGTTTGATTTTAGAAAACTGGTTTAATTTTGATAGACAGCAGGACACATAATTCATATTAGTTTCTTGAAATGAGTACCTATTTATTTCTCAATGTTTTTATCCATACGGCAAAAATTGCACCTCTTTCCATTTCTGACCCTTTTCTGCCTCAGACCTTATTCAGAATAACGCAGGTCCTTCAAGCTACTCTCTAAAAGTTACCTACTGATTTTTGTAAAACCCTTCTTACCAAAAGAAGGTATGGTTAGGTGGTTTAACTCTCTCCATAATCTTTTCAAAGCTGTTCTGGACTTTGGCCTCTACAACTATCATCAGTCTAATAATTATATTTTTTGAATGTTATTAAATGTTTAAAAATATTTAGCAGTTTAGGAACAGTTCAGATCATACTCCTCTCCCTCTATTTTCAATTAAATGTATTTTCAAAATCCAGAACTTTTCAGTATTTTAGCTTACATTCTCGCCCATTAGCACTGGGATGATTCCATAGAAAGGCCGCATTGCTATAGCCGGAATGATCTCAGCTCCTTCTTCTGAAGGCCGAGGAGCAATACAAATGCCACCAGTTTCTGGAATGATAAATCAGAAAGAAACACTACTAAAAATGAATGCAATCTCTGTTTTCTGGGATTAAATGAACATAAGCAACGTTTCTGGACTGAGGGCAGCTTCATTCTCCATAAAGGAAATACCCTTATTTACCCCCACAAAGCCCTAAACTGATTATATTCAACACAATTACATGCACTTAGCAAGTAATTTCAGCCGCAAATGATAAAAATGCAGGGAAATTATGGAATATATTTCCTTGTGTTGTTTTGATAACACTTGTGTTTGCTTAGAAGCGGTTTATGAGACTTATGAGATATAAGTAGTTCAAATTTATAGTTAAATCCTAGATTAATATAGGTACTAAAAATAAGTAGGAAATAAATGCAAACACAAAATTAGGGTTAAGACTAAAAGTAAAACATAAGACTTTAATTAAGCCCCTCCCCCACTGGAGCAAAATCCAAGTTTGTATCCTTGAGTTCCTAACAGACCACAATTCAGAGATCTACCATGAAGCTTTTCATATAGAAAGTCACCGGTCTTGATTTCTAAAATCTGATCAAGCTTTATAGGGATACTGGATTTGATATAGGCTATTGCACTAAGCCTGATCACACTTTTAAAATATATTTATACATAAGAATCTGCATAGTGAATTTCCCCTACCTCTCCCATAATCTCCCTTTCTCTTATCCACTCAAATGGTTTCAAATATATTTGCAAAAACTGATTTGCTAATCTTTATGCATGTTTGAGTTGATTATTTGTGGCATATCACTGCTTCCAAGAGCTATGTTTGAGAAAAATAAGCTGCAATAATTATGCTATTTTTAAACCGAATATAAGATCTACAACTGGCCCAACACCAGGTAATAAATTAATATCCTTGCAAATTCTTTGAAGAATTATTGTTATTCATATCCCCAGAAAATAATAAATCTCACAAGTGGATGCATTTGTTTTTATATCAAGTGATCAGCTTTTGAGAAAATATAGCATTAACTGAAAACATCACTAATTTAGCTAGAACAGTGGTTCTCAACCTTTTTAATGCTGCGACCCCCAACCGGTTGTAAGTCGAGGACTACTCAACCGGTCGTAAGTCGAGAACTACCCAACCGGTCATAAGTCGAGGACTTTCCCTGCCCGGAAGCACCGCACATGCATGGTACCGCCCCCTGCGCTGGCCGAGGTGTAGCTGGCAAGCGGCAGAGAAGGAGCAGGCCGACCACCGGCTGGGCCACCAGCTGGCCCAGCCCAAGGGAGGTAAGGCACCCGCCAGGCTCCACGCACACCAGCAATCCTCCCTGCGCCCGCCGGCCTCCCACCTCCCACCCCTGGCCCTCTTTTACTTACATTTTTAGTAGTTGCTCAGCAGCGAGAGGTGGAAACTTCCAGACAGCTCGCCTTCGCTGCAGACAACTTGCAGCACCGTTTGCAGAATGGGACTTTTGGCAGGCTCAGGAGGGCAGAGACAGCCTGGACAATTCCTATTGGCTTTTGAAAGCCAATAGAATTAGACTCTATTCAAGAGAGTCTATTCTATTGGCTTTCAAAAGCCAATAGAATAAAAGGGAGTAGCACAGCTAAGGAAAAGGGGGAAAAAATGGCGGACTGCGTTGTTTGGCGACCCCCGTGAAATGGTCGTTTGACCCCAAATGGGGTCCCGACCCACAGGCTGAGAACCACTGAGCTAGAAGGACCAACATTATGTTATACGGGAAATTTGAATCAAAATATTCCCAGAAACTAACAGGATTATTTCTGGAAAAGCAATCTTGTAATATTACAAGTAGTCCTAGTTAAACATCCACTTGTTCAGCAATCATTTGAAGTTAGCAAATGATATTGAACAAGGGGGATCTATGACTATCATTTATAGCTGCAGCTGATGCAGCAGCTTCCCTGTGGTCATGTGATCAGAATTCAAGCGCTCAAGCCACATGCAGCATCTCACAGTCACGTGATCACAATTTGAAACCTTCACTGCCAGCTTCCCGCAGGCAAAGTCAATGAGGAAGCTGGCAGGAGATCAGAAACTGTGATTACATGACTATAAGAAGCTGTAACCACATGAGAGTCACCTAACAATCGTAACTTGGATTGCCATTTTAAGTCAGTGTGGTTATGTGACATCACAGTTTATAATCATGTCTCTTATGACAGGTTCCTGGACCAATTTCTATTGGTAAATAAAAGCTACCTGTAATTAGACTTTGCGGGAAGAGTTAGAACGGTGTTTCCCAAACTTGACAATTTTAAGGCATGAGGACTTCAACTCCCAGAATTCCACAGCCAGCAACGCTGGCTGTGGAATTCTGGGAGTTGAAGTCCACATGCCTTAAAATTGTCAAGTTTGGGAAACACTGAGTTAGAACAAGAAAAAAGCAAAAAAATAATATTTCTTTCTTCCCTATGCATAATCTAATGATGTTTTTGAGTCAAATATTTGATTTTATTAAAGTGTATGTCTCTGTGTGTATGTAAGTATGCTAACATTTCTCCTGGAAAATCACTCTTAGAACAGCTTTCAAAAATCTGTAACTTGCCAGAGGATTTCATGCAGCCTTTCACCTAATTACAAAAGTCGTATTTAAGTGATCAGTTCATATCTCTGGTAATTATTATCTGTCACCTTCTTTATAAGCAGTGTCTTGGAGGAAGAAATGTCACAAAGAGAAATGACAAAGTTAGAGAGAAAAGGGGGGAAAATATAATAGAGGTGATCCTGCTCACTTCTTGCATTGGCCAAGAGTTTCTCCAGACCAGTCTTTCTTCTCTCTGGCAACTACCATATACTTTCCAAGTAAAAAAACTCCTCCAACTCCTTATAAGAGACTAATATTTACATCTGTCAAATTCAGCAAGAAACACATCCCTAATTTTCTCCCTGGAGTTTGCTTGCTACAAGTAAGTGGCACCCTGCCATGCCATGAAATTCAATGGTAATGACAGAGGCTCCAAAGCCACATTAAAGAATGAAGTTCATAAGTTGATGATTGTGCATATTTCCCTAATTTGGTGTAATGGTAGTTAAAAGATCACTTACATGTGTGTGAGCTTGCCAAAGAATCAATACTGGAAATTTTACTTGTTCTACCATATTGTCACCTTATACTAGAAAGGTTTTTTTTCATGATGAATTCATATTTTGGGAATTTTCTCGTCACGGAGATATATATGTATTATCTCAAGATTGATGGCATAAAAATCTGAACATTTATTTCAATCTTCCATTCAATATTTAAAAATACTATGCATTGGGGTCTTATTCTTAACTGTATTTTCACATTTTGAATTCTTTTAGGCTGAACTGTCTTCAAATTGTTAGCTTATTTATGTTCGGCTAAGCAACTCTACATGAACAGAAAAGAGTTAATTGCAGCAGCTAATACCATGTTAATATGTGCAAGTTGGTGATTGTGAGATTCTGGAAAATTCTATTAACCTTGCTCAGTTTGTTGACCCTGTTATTGTTCCTTCATTTTCTCTCATGGTATGTGATCACACAGAATATTTTTCTCCTATCGTATGAATGTAAGTAAATGTTTGCTTATATGAAGATGGTGTAATTTTTTTAAGCGGTTCAGTTGGCTCAAGGAGGGGAAAAGAGAACAAAAGAAATAAAAATAAAAAGCGGAGCTGAAGCCAGTTAAAAGCAGTAATCACAAGACTGTCCAATAATTTTGGTTCTTTGCCATACCTTTTGCTGCATAGAATAACTTATACCATACAAAGACACTAGCCAAAAGCAGAAAAGAGACAGACTGTGGCTCAATAAGGAATGGAGGGGAAAAGTCAAGAATGACATAAAGCTAAAAAGGGGAAGTCTGGGAGAAAGAAAAGGAACCTGCTTCTGAATAGTAAGGCTTAAAGAAATACAGTTGTAGCCCTTGAGGTGAGATTTTAAAGAGCAAAAAGCAGATTATATATGAACATACTCAGAAAGATTGTTCAAAATTCAGAAGTCATTAGAAAAAAATGAACATAAGATTTTTCAGAAATTAAATCTTATTACAGATAATACAGTTACAGGAAACCAGATCAGATAGGGTAATGTTTCTTAGCCTATTTCTATGTTACAGCTAAACATAGCATCATATTTTAACTATTTTGAGTTAGACATTGCATTTCTTTTTTCATTGTCATAAACCTATCTAGAACCCAAGGCCCAGAAATTCCTATTTGTAAAATTTATGTGTTTTAAAAACGTATTTCACACAATTCTTTTACTGAAGATCATAAACATAAATGAAATAAATGTGCAGTACATATACAAAGCATGAATGTAAATGAATGCAATTCAGAACTTCTTAAGAAGATACACATGTAATTATTTTATTTTGGGGAAAAATGCCACAATTATCAATCTGCAAAATCTTTAGCAACCTTAATGTCTGAAACCAGGCTAGACTGTTACTTTTGTGGTGATATTTTTCCATTCGCTATATTGATTTTACCTGTTTGCCACCAAGTGTCCACAAGGGTACACCTTTTGTCTCCTACCACACTGTAGTACCAGTGCCAAGCTTCATGATTTATTGGTTCTCCCACTACAATTCAAAACAGCAAAATAAATAATTATGATATTTACAGTATTAAGGATATTTTATAGCTGGTAACAAAGCAACTTAACTTGAAGAGTGGTTAAAGAAACTGGGTGTGACCAATCCTACAAGATAAAAAACTGACAGAAAGATAACCTGCTGACACTACTCAATGCTATGAATTCTTTTTGTAAAAAAAAAAAAAAGAATAACAGAAAGAAATAACAGAGAGTGACCTCTATGGTTTTTGCAAGAATCACTGAAAAGAAAAAGAATTTTTCTGCAAAAGGCACAGTTTTCCTTGCATAGAAAACTAGCAAATGCCTTGATTTTAAATAGACATAAAATTTAGTTTGTCCATTCTCACCTGATCCAAGAGTAGTAAGAGAAGATCTGTCATATTTCTTCACATATTCATCACCATACTTCAGCAACAAACGTAATGCAGTTGGAGCACAATAAAACTGGTTAATTTTTAATCTTTCCACAGTTTCCCAATAGCGACCTTAAAACAATATATATTAAGAAGTAAGCTCCAGAAGTCTTATAAGCTCAGAATATTTCATATTAAATGAGAATGAATATCTGGAACACATACACATTTTGAAATACACAACTACCCCCTTATTTTAAACCTTCAAATTTAAATAGTAAAGAAAAATAAATTGTCACAATTAAATACAACTGAAAAAATACTGTGTCTGTGTTTCACATTATTTTGAAGTATCAGGAGATGGCAGCACCTGGCTGATTTTTTTCTGGGCTCAGAAGCTAATGACCATAAACTTAAAATACTTGGGTGGCAGATCCCAAAGGAATATTAGTGAGGGAAGTTGAAGAGACATTTTGGAAGAAAACAGAGGCAAGAAATGTGAGAAAGATGGAATAACATTAGAAGATGAAAATTTGATAATTCAGATTAAAGATCAGAATCAGGCTCATATAAAAAGAATTTATAATGTGTTAATAGAATTAGATTCGGAAACAGAATTGGTCAAAGATTGTATGATTAAATGGGCTCAGAATATTCAGGAACCGATTCCATTGGATTTATGAGAGATAATTTGGATTAGAAATGTTAAATTTACACAAGCCCAAAATTTGAGGGAAAATTTTTATAAAATGTTTTATAGGTGGCATTTAGATCCTAAAAAATTATCTTGTATGTATTCTAACTTACAACCCAAATGTTGCAGGTGTGGTAATACTGATGCAACTTATTTTCATGTTTGGTGGAATTGTAAAAAGGTTAAGGCTTTTTGGACTATGATTTGGTGGAATATTCAAAAGATTTTTAAAAGGAAGATAAAGTTTACTCCTCAATTATTTTTATTGGGTATTTTTATGGATTTAGATGTTAAAGAAACTATTTTAATGTTAGAATTTATTAACTGCAGCAAGGTTATTAGTAGGTTTATATTGGAAGAAAGATTCATTGCCTATCTTAGAAGAATGGATACTTAAGGTTTCTAATTTAGCAGAAATGGCTAAAATTTCTGCTTATTTAAAGGATCATACACAAGAAAGATATATTATGGTATGGAGAAGATGGATAGATTATATTCAGAATAAATATGGAACTCAAAAGTTCCATTTATTTTATGATTAAAATTTTATAACAAATGTTTTATAAGAGATTTGTTTATACTATCATGATGTTAAAGTTTAAGGGGAGTTAAGGGTTAAATATGAATTTGTTTATTATATAATATTTTTAAAGTTATGTTGATTTTGTTTATTTTGTTATTAATAACCCTGTATTCTGCTCTGGGAAGTGAGGGGGGGTGGGGGGGTGGGGGGTGGGGAGGTAAGTAGGTTAGATAATAGAATTAAAGTAAGATATAGATAGGGTAAATTATGAGAGAGGTGTTGCTGTATCCGAAGAGGGATGAGAGTGGAGGAGGAAGGGTAGGGAGGAAGTAGAATGGTAAGAGGAGAGGGAGAGGGGAGAGAGGTGAGGGGAGGTGAGAAAGAGGAGGGAAGTAAGGGAGAGTGTTAGAGAGGGTGGATACAGTTTGGGGGGAGGTGGGCAAGCAACACCTATGGTTATGTGTATGAATTTATTTTATTTTGTTAATTGTGAATTTTTATATTTATGTAATTGATAAATGGAAAATAAAACTTTTAAATAAAAAAAGAAATGTGAGAGCTTAACTTTTATTCATCAAAATAGCTTTTAAAAGCTATTGAATAAAAAGCTTCTTCAAACTGAGCTCAGATCTCCAAGTCAAAGTGAATTTTAATTTAATTAATTCTGCCCAAAAATCTGATTAAAATTCAGATTGAACTTTGGCTATAAGTATTTTTATAATTTATTTATCTCAGTGGTCTAATGTGTATTTTTGAGTTGCTGAAGCAAATCAATATATTATATCTTAAATATTTTGTATAATTCAGATTTTAGGCCTGAACAATTCATCTACTAATTTATACAAGGATGACATAACTCTTTAATCAGACCCAAATAAGGACTTTTGGCATTTCATTTATATTTTCAAAAAGTGTAGCAATAAGTTTATTGTGTACAATCCAACTCTTAAGACTAAAATTTACTCTTTGGCCGTGCATGCTATCTTTTCATTACAAGTTCAGTTGAAAATATTTTGGGCTGTTTTGTAATTGCTGCATCGTCCATAACAATTTGCTGTATTCTGGCCCTGTTTTGACCATCCACACTTTCCATCTTTAACCATGAAAAATAATTGGTGCACTGCTGCATAGTGAAAGGAAGGCTCTGGGAAGCCAAAAATAGCACTGCTATCTAATACAGCTGAAAACATCAGATTGGAGAAGGCAAAAAGAAAACAAAACAGAAAGCAGTCCCAGAGCAATAGAGCCAAAAATCCCCTTCACATTGCTAAAAAAAGAAGGCCAAAAGCAGCCCAGATAAACATTAAAAAAAAAACATCTTAGTGCTGAGGTGGGGGGGGGAACCACATAGGACTTTTTGGTGCATTGCAGCTCTGTGGCTGGTTTTCACTTTTTTTTGTGCAGCGCAAAGTGGTTTTTTGGCATCACAGTGCTGGGGTTTCTTTTGGCCTTTTTTCCTCTCCTGCAGCAAAAACACAGCTCAGCCCAGCCAGCAGCCAGGTCAGCATTGACAGCAGCAGCCACAGCAGCAAGATGACAAAGGTTAACAGCTAAGACAGCAGAGGGCAGGGAGCCAAAAGGGCATAGATGGGGGGGGGAGGGAGAGACAGGTAGGTGCAGTAATTGAAACAACCCTGCAGTTATAAGGGCAGGCAGGCTGCCAAGCACCTATATTTTGATCATGTGACCATAAGACACTGCAACAACCATAACTTCAAGCATCTGTTGGATGTCTCTTCGTTTAGGACTGCTGAAAACTTAGAACTGTCGTTAAGTCAAGGATTTCCTATACTATTTGACACAGCAGTCTTCTAGTAGCAAACTAGAGAGAGAGATGCAAACCCCTTTTTAGATCAAATAAAATTAAAGGAAAGGAGGGGGAAAGCACATTGAGACTTACAAGATTTTGTTACAATAGAAGTAGTACTGACCTACATGCCACTGATTTCTTAGTCTACTTTACTTCATAGGGCTGACACCTCCAAAACAATCCTAGTTATTACGGTAATATTCCAGCGTGCCCCAATTTGTACATTTAAGGTACATTTCTGGGGAACCTTTTCTAAAAAGCAGTGTGAATTCTTGTCTTTTTCTTATTTGATATCTGTACATTTTCTGATATATAGGCTTTAAAACAAATAATCCCCAATGTCAATTCTTTTTTTAAAAAAAAATATCAATACTGCTATTTCCATACAATTTCCAATGAGGATACAGTCTCAAGAGTTTTGGCTGGGGAAAGATTAACTAGTATCAGTACACTTTATTTGATGCTAGAATTCGTTGTACTTCAAGGTCCAGTTGGAATAGAATATCCAAATTTTCCACAGTGGAATCCAGAGTGAAAAATAATTTATATCCCCAAATATGGCATAGCCGCTACAAAGAGGAAGGAAAACTATCCCCCCCCCCAAAAGCAAATGTTAAACCTTTACTGAATCAAATAATTTCCTATCCACAGAAAGTCAATCTGGATGTTACCCAGGTTAATAATATAAGAAACCTAATGTCATACTTATCACATACAGCAATCATAATAACCAAAATATTTAGAAAAAGATCCTTTTCAATATCTGGCTTCTCTTGATTTTGTGTTGTTAGCTTTAATTTATTTTCATTTTTTTATTTCATATGGCACGAGTATTCAAGAAAGAAGAAAGGGCTGAATAAAAAGCAATACATACGCAGACTTGCTCTCTACTGAAAACTAAGTATACTAAGGTTGCAGCAGGATGGTTTTTTTTTACACTTTTAAATCCCACCTTATTATTTTTATAAATAACTCAGGGTGGTGAACATACCTAATATACCTTCCTCTTATTTTCTCCACAACAACTCTGTGAGATGAGTTGGGCTGAGAAAGAGTGACTATCCCAAAATCAGCCAGCTGGCTTTCATGCCTAAGGTGGGATTAGACTTCAGAATTTCCTGGATTTTAGTCTGATGCATTAACCACTAGACCAAACCGGCCCTATATGGAGAAGCAAGTGGTTAACCTTTAAAGCTTCACAAGAAAGAAATGATTGTATCATGACTAATTGCCCTTTTTTATGTCCACTGCTGTTTCTATACGTTATATTTAAAAATTCTACCTGGATCTGGATAAACAGGAGTACTTTCAAACAAAACTGTGGTGCTTCCGTTGCAAAGTGGTCCATATACAACATAGCTGTGTCCTGTGATCCAACCAATATCTGCTACACATCCAAAAATGTCATCTTGTTTGAGGTCAAAAACATGCTATAAAAACAATATAGCTGGTTAGAATCAGTGTATACTAATGAAAAATTATTACGATCAAGAAATACTTGTCAGTAGTCAAGTATTCTTCCTTTTGTGAAGAAATAAATCAATCACAAATTCAGGCAAATCACTTTTCATGGCTTCCTATCATGGATTCAGAATTTAAACCTTGTATGAGGAAATGTCCTCCACCATTAATTACAGAATAAACAGAGATTTTGTTATCTGCTATTTTATTAGATGAAAGCAATTTCAAGTAACATTCTTCCTACAATTTATCATTCTTTCTTTCTTTGAATAGTAAAGTATATATAAAAATCTATTATGAGATATACGGTATAATTAACCAACCTTGTAACAGGTGCATTTGCCTTGAAATTTGGCCAAATAGCCCTATTTTTTTAAAATGTAGCATTCCAAAATTAAATTAAAAAGTCTGCTTGAGAATTATGTTTTAGATTAGATCTGCTTGTGTATAATTTTTAGGGCTCTGCAGCAATCCAAATTCAAAGGAGGAAAAATGACTTAAGAGCATATGATTAAAGAGGATGTATCTTCTCCAGATATGCAGCTTTTTAAAGAAATTGCCCACAGATACTTTGTGAACACCTTTGTATATTCTGCATCACCCTTTTCTCCTCAAATCTAGATTGTTGCCTAGCTATAATACATTTCATACTAGCTGAGAAATCATTTTTTAGCCTCACATCATATTCAAAATGTCCAACTCTGCCAAATTTCATTATCCATGTGATTTGCACACGATTGACAGTACTAATGTAAAAAAAATAAAATCAAGGATTCTACTGATACCTTATGTGTTATGGCAGTATAAAGCAGATAGCCAGCCTGGGTATGAACAATTCCTTTAGGTTTTCCTGTGCTTCCTGAAGTATAAAGCATAAAAAGCATATCCTCACTGTCCATAATTTCAGAAGGACAAACCAATGCTTCCTTAGCCATCTCCTAAAAAAAGCATTTTTTTAAATTGACAATTAAATGAAAAGTGGAGCAATAGTATATTAAATATTCTCAAATACATACCAGAGGTAAGTTTTTCCTTCTTCAATATTTTTCACATTTCACAAAGAAATAACAAGTGCACAATGCTATTTTAGCATTTAAAGCACCAAAGGCAATGATTATTTGAAAACTCAATTTAAAATTCAGGTTCCATGCCTTGAATGGTATAAATTAGATGTTCAGGAATACTGAATTCAATACTTCTCCTGGAATCATGGCCATGAATTTTATATATATATTACATAGTAAAAAAAACTATTGTATACTCTTATCCAAAGATATTTTATTTTGCTTCAGCAAGTCACATTCCTTTTGGATTCATAAGTATTCATAAAAATAATAGGTTTGGCATACAATTGCTAAAAGTGTGAGCTAGAACAGAGAAATAAAAGCATCATACAACGTATTTTATCAGCTTCATTCATTTTCAATTTGATTGGAATTTATCTGATTAGAAACACGAACACGATGAACCTACTTCTTCAAGGAGAATATCATGACTGCATGTATGGATTTTGCTGTCAGTTCTCTGGGCTACAAAGACACACTTGACACTTGGACAGTTCTTTACAGCTTCATCCACGGTGTTTTTCAGTTCTAGGATCCGTCCTCCTCTGATTCCCTGGTTACAGGTGATCACTGCTTTACATTTAGCTAGCAAGAAAAATAATTTATAGAGACAGCAAATTTTAATTTATTCCTCTGTTTTGCATCATAATCTAATAAATAAAAATAAATAGCACATAATATATTGTAAGTCATCAAATCCTATATAGTAGTTGAAATGCTCAGGATTGTTTTTCTGCTACAGGAAAAAAAACCCAAAATACAGTTACGGAAGTAGAATGGCATGTAAAAGCTTATGAAGATTTCTTGCATACAACAAATTATCAGTCCAACAACTGGTCTATTGTTGACGTGTTGGTTTTCTAATGAAAAAGTTGCATTTACCTGCAATAACAAAGCAATCCATGAATTATTATCTAAAAAAATTTTTTTCTAAAAATTACTTACCATCATTTATTCTCCCTGCTAAAGATTCTGCACTGAATCCAGCAAATACAACTGTATGAACAGCACCAATTCTGGCACAAGCCAACATGGCAGTCACTGCCATTGGAGATACAGACATATAGATAGCAACTCGGTCTCCCTTTTTTATACCATTTCTCTTTAAGGTATTAGCAAGGCGACAAGTCATGTCCAAAAGTTCCCTACAATGTAGAAACAAATGCCTTGTCATTTTGTTTAACTTTATAAATATTATATTTCAATCTACAAAAAAAATCCAGATAAATATTTATCAAGCAAACTTAAACATAAATCTAATTCATTTAAGTTCAGCTTTGCAGACTTAATTTCTACTCTTTACCAAGATAATCATAAATTAAACAAGCACTGTTACAATAGCAACAATTTTAGAAACAATTTAAAATGCAAAGATATTACAAAAACAACTTTTAGATATAATAATAATTTGCATAACTAAACTTGCTGAGTTAAAAAAAACTAGTTGAATTTCTTAAATTACTGACATTATGAGAAATATCTAGTATTTGTCGGCATTCCTAGCATTAAAACTACATTAAAGAATACTTTGTAGGAAGCATGTTTCTTTGCTAAGTCTCAAGATCTGTTATTTGCCTATTTAAATTCATTTTGTGAAAGTAATAATAACCTAATGCCAAATCAAGAATATTTTAAGAAAAATATTTTCTCTTCTTTTTTTTGTTCTCTTTGCTGTTTTTAACAGTTACTTTTATAAGTGAAATGGATTACCAAAGGAATGAAAGAAAAGCACATTATTTGCCAAGTACTATATAGTACCTTTATGACAAAACTACTTTATTACCTGGAAACCCCATCAGTCCAGGGTTAGTGAACTATCACTCCATTTTTATTGCAACTCTCTTATATCAACATTGTTCAGAAGTATGTTTAAAGTCCGCAGGCTTTTACATAGTAAAATATCATTTTCATAAATAATTTGTTGAGGTCAGAATTATACTTCAGAATTCTGACCTGTGCTTGTCTCACAATACTAATGTGGATATCAGAAGGCATTTCCAGGGGAAGAGATAGAGAGAAGAAGGTGTTTAACTCTTGTAAGGTCCATGGATGTTCATCTGCAACTGTGCTTGTGGCCATGCCTGGTCGTCCCACTGTGCTTTGAGATCAGAAGAAACTCAGCTGCAGGGGAAAGAAAAACAGCCTAGAAAGGATTCCAGGAAAGGCCTGGCAAGTGCAGGAGGCATTATATATTTTGCCTTCTACATACTACTACTTTGAGCAGATTTATATTAATCAGGAAATACCAGCAATTCCTGTTTTCCTGAGGATTTCCATAGATGGAATGTAGGTCTTAGTCATCTCTCCCAGACTAAGATGTGAGATAGATTGAACTATTTTGCTTCCATTAGATAATATATTTTATATTGCTTGATAGTTCCACTGATCTTTTAAGAGTGAGCTAAATAATATGGAAGCAAGATAAACTAGTTTGTATACAAAATTTGTAGTTTGCATACAAATTCTCCATCTTTATTGTAAAATATTTTCATTACAAACTCCATTGCTATTCATGACAATATGTTCATATTGCTGTTTCCAATACCTTGGAAATTGTGAGAGCAATTTCTCATCTTAATTTACAGTAAGTCATTATGGTAAGATGGAATATCTTTGAATGATCTGAAAAGCTTCTTCTAAGATTTCTTGCTACTTGATCTAAATTGTTTATTTATTTATTTATTTATGAGACTTATATACCGCTTTAAGTGCAAGCACTCTCTAAGCGGTGTACACCAGTAAGCAATGTATATATATATTTACATTGCCCCCAACAATCTGGGTCCTCATTTTACCTACCCCGGAAGGATGGAAGGCTGAGTCAACCTTGAGCCGGTGAGATTTGAACCGCTGACCTGCTGAACACAGTCAGCTAAAGTGGCCTGCAGTACTGCACTCTAACTGCTGCGCCACCTCGGCTCTTTATTAGATAAATTGCCAACAAACATAAAAGTCAACATAAAAAACTCATTTCAAAATAATCAATCAAATACTTCTGGATTGTCAATCACTCCCTTTAAAAGAAGTCTTCTGGACTCCCAAGCAACAGGTCAAAGTCCTCTTACAGCACTTCTGTATCAGAGCAACCAGAGAATCTCTGTGTTCTGGTCCCTGCCATCCCTCACAAAAGTAGAGTCATGGCCCAGAGTTCAGATGACTCCAAATCTGAAGAAGCTCTGCCACTAAACAGGAATGCCAGCCTTAGGCGATACCAAGCCAGAATTACCTGAAGCTGATCAAACATAGGCAGCCTCAGAATCGCTGGAGGAATCAAAAGATGAAATAAGGCCTCCTAGTCCTCAGACATGGCAAATAGAGTCGAGAGCAGAGTCAAAGTGCTCCATAAGTCTCCTTGCCAAGCAAGACATGCCTGTCTTAACTAAAAACAATTGGCTGCAGTCTTATTTAAGAAATAGCCCTGGCTCCTATCTCTTTTAGAGTCCTTCATGTTTCTGATCTTTGCATGCATACGTTTCATTACCCAACTAAGTAATATAATCAGTAATGAAACATCTGCAAGCAAACAACCAAGCTTAGAGAGCACCAAGGTTAGGTGTCTTGTCACTCCATTTTTTTCCACTTCCTCTGAAAACTAGGGAGCTACTCTGGATCAGAGACTGGGAAGAGGCCTCACAAGGGAAATCTCATCCAGTTATCTCATCTTAGATATCAATTCTCAGAAAACTTTCAGGATCCACCAGAAGCCTTAGCTAGACCATCTCAATGGGTCTATATTATTTTGTTCATGATTTGCAGCTGGGCCAGAAAGTGATTTTAAACATGGTAAAGGACAGATAGCAATAGCCTCCATATTGAGATAACATCTTATCTGCTCTAAGGTAAAAATGTAATCCAATATTTAATCCTAAAACAGGTTGAGTTTGGAACTCTTAAAAAGAATTACCAGTCAGTACAGACAACCAGACTGACAAACTATATAAAGCAGTTTCCTATATTCCTATTGTAGAACACAGAATTCACTTCCTGACAAATCATCTAAGACTACTATATTTATGAAGAAAGCAAGTTGCTCCTCCCTAATTCAATAATGCACAGATAAGTGTGTTGTAGTAGTGTCCATTATGTGCACACAAGTTAAAATTACATCCAAAGCTAAAATTGTGCATTACTTCATTGCAGGACTTTTTTTGTGATAGAATGTCCAGAACGAAGTTCCGGCACCTTTTTTGGATGGAACCTTGTAGGGTAGGCAAGGCGGGTTGTATGACATGTGTGAGTTCCGACACCTTTTTTTTTTTTTTTTACAAAAAAAGCACTGCTTTATTGTAAAAATACCTGTGGCTTGCAGTTCAAGGCACATGCAGTTAGGCTACAGATGGAATGCAACCCACTAGTTTGCCCTTATCTAGAAATCCTTGGGACTGAATAGAGGAGCCAATTCTTGAGCAGCCAGAGGCCTACTAATTTAAAAAAAAATATTATTTTATCTCTCCTCCCGTCTACATTGCATAACTTTTTCCATTTAGCCTTCCAAAAGGAGAGAGGAACACTGATGTTCTAAAAATGTTAACAGCTCCCTTGTGCTAATAGTGCCTAAACAGAAGAGTGTTAACAGCATAAATGTTTTCACACAGTATTTATTCACTTGCCAATTTTATAATATGAGTATCATCACACTTCACAAGAGTACATTTTACTCTGCAAATCAAATATTCTTTTCAATTAGTGTATTATATTCAGGTGCAATGTACTTATGCTGAGCATAACAAAGGAATGTTGTTAGAAAGCTAATCCTTTTTGATTAAAATTGCACATAATATATATGGGCCTAAATGCTAACCAAAGGTTAACTAGATTGCATGGGTTCACACACACTGAACCCTAAACTAGACAATAATACTTTATCCTGTTGTGCAAACTCAGGCAGTAAACTGAGAACTTTATTTAACATAAAGCTGATTCTTATTTTTAAGGAAATAACTTTTCAGCAGCTTTTGATTACAGAAATAAAAGTACAGTTTGATTAGTAGTATTTAAATCTTTGTGAACCTTTGTTGATCATACTAGTTTCTATCCTTTTTTGGAGGCCACTTCAGAAAATGCACTTCAATTATAGTGGTCACTAATCTATCAATACGGCTTTTAGGTTTAAAAAAATATATACTGTATTAACCTTCAGCATCCAAAGTGTGTCTTCCAGCAGCAACCATATTAATTCCTGCATGGATTAATGGACAAGATCATTCATGAAGGATGCCTTCACAAATTATATTATCTTTATATGGAAGATATTTCTATATACAAAGCCAAAACTATTGTACATCCACATCAATTTGTTACTGTAAGTCTAACCAAGTAAAGTACTGTGCTATAATAAAACAAAAGACCATCTTCATGCTGTTGGTGAACTGTGTATACTAGCTAAACAACCTAAATCACTTTTCACCAACCTTGTGTCTCCAGCAGAATTTGATTCATAACTCTCAGAATTACCAGCCAACTAAAAGTTGGGAATTTGAGTTATAATCCAATGCTTCAAAAGTAAACCAGATCGAAGAGGCTCAGCTGGCTATATAGTTTTTGGTTTTGCTCCATCAATTCAGAATAATCTGGTAGCAATCAAATGAAACATCAAAATGAGGAGTGAGCTCTATATACAATAGCTGAATTCAGTCAACATGCTAAATGTTGTTTGTTTAGTATTGGTTTACTATATTGTGTGAATTTAGTCATTCTGGTTTATATATGTAGCAACTCATGACTTAGCATGTTGAATGAACCCCTCCCATTGTAATTTATTTTATAAGCCCAGTTAAGCAAACCATAACTAAGTGGAATGTGTTAACCAGAAGAATGTGATTAACTAAGAATGTCATTAAAAAAAAGTCATACAGATAAATAGCAATAAATGAAGTTTTGAAGGTTCCATACTTTAGCTTCCAGTAAATTCATAACATTTGGTTTCTTGAAACCCAATAAACTATAATTTGGTTAGCTTATTATAGATCAGCTAACTAGGTGGCAGTGTGCATCAGATTACTATTTGAATAAAACACCAGGTACATCCCAGGTTTGGAAAATAAAAATAAAATCTCAGAAGAAAGTAATGGCAAACCACTTATGCACTATTGTGAAGAAAATTATGTGAACACTAAGGATTCAATTCAAGAAAGACTTGACATTAACTGTGGCTCGATGTCTTATGTGAATACAGCCAAAATAGTAATCTTATAGTTTAGATCAGGGGTGTCAAACTGCTGGCCCACGGGCTGGATACGTCATCTGGAAGCCATGCCCACCCCGTTGCCGGCAATGGCAAAACCGGCCCGATACTTTGCACGATGTCACATGACGTCGCGAGTTTGACATGTCTGGTTTAGATCTATGTGTAAAGTCACACAATTATATTTTAGTAAACTATAATTAAATTAATGATGTATCAGAATGCAATACAAACATACTTAGTATATATGTCTGTATGTGTGTGTATATGTATGTATGTACGTATACATACACATATACGGAGTGCCTGTTAACAATCTGAAGTAGTGGAAGCAAACACAAACTTACCATTTCATCAGATGCTTGTGAAAGAGGCAAAAGATTAGCAATAGATGAAGAAGAAATACAAACTATTTTGTTGATTTATTTTTGCTGCAAATTCTTATTTTCTTTCTCACTTTGGATTATTATCTTCACATTTTGCCATCCAAAGTTGCTTAGGTGAAATGGGTGACCATATAAATTGAAGGTTGTGGAATGATATTCTTATACATATTAGACTAAATTACTGATTGTTAATGCTGAAATAACTATGCAATATAAATATAATTCTCACCTTGAAAACGATACAGAAAAACAATTTAATTACAATCAGAATTTTGCAATACTCACAGTGATCTGTCATAACAACTGTGACTCTCTAAAAAGGGGTTAGCAAAATACTGCAAGATAAGCAAACTGAAACTGACTACCAAATCTATTTACTAAAATATTACGACAACTGGACTAATGTGATGAAGTCACATTACATTGCACTTTACAACCTCATTACTTACAGATGGTAATTCTGGTCCCAATTGCTATCATAACCTGAGGTCTATCTGTATTAATGGATGTGAACTCATTTTCAAGCCAATTTATGTCTGGCTCTCAATTCTAGTTGTTGAAGGATGTTATCACAGGGACATCCTACTTGTGGGCTTTCCAGAACTTTTAATTTGCCACTATCAATCCAGAAAGGCCTTTGCTATATCCAGTGGGTTTTTTTATTTTTAATCATCCTAAACTATTTTGATGAAATAAATATTTTCTTTTCTGGAACAAGATGTCTTTTCTAAGATTAGTATTATCACAGATTTTATACAAAAGCAAGCAATACTATATGACTTTTCCAAATTCTGCACAGATAATTTTGAAACCAAGTAGGAGGATCATGTCATACCTGTAAGTTATTTTTTCTTCAGTACCAGGCTCATCTTTTTCCCAAATCAAAGCTACTTTGTCTGGTATATGTTGCACATGCCGATCCAAACAGTTAACTGCAAAGAAACAAATTGTGAAAAAAACAAAGCATGTAGCTTGTTACTGATTGAAAGTGCTTACCATCTTAAGTGATTTAAAAAAAAAATCCTCTGAAGCTATTACTGTACAAGCCAATCAAGAGAGATAGTGACAACTGTAGATATTACCCTAGAACTATTAAGAGGCACAAAACATTTGTGTGTTTTGATCACCATCACAAAATAGAGAAGAATGTGTATTTTAATCTATATCATATGACTTGGAGATGTTTTGCATCTGAATGTGTGTAAGTACACAACTGTAACACATATGTTAGGTTGCTTTTAAAGATAGCTTGGAAAACCTGACTGGTCCAAAATGTAGCTAACTAGGTGAGTAGGTCTCGAAGCATAATACCTATACTTCAGTTGCCGCACTGGTTACCGAGAGGTTAAAGTACTGGTGTCAGTGAGAAGATGGTTGTAAAAGAAAAAAGGCACTACTGTTTCCTGGCATTTCCCTCAAAAACCAAAAGGAAAAGCGAGACATTCCTTCTAAAGGGGTACTTCCTTGATGGCTTGGTTACTTTCTCAATTTAGGAATGATGCGGGATTTCAAAATGCCAGAAGACAGAAGAAAAACAAAAATTGGAAAGAAGAATGCCAAAGGACTAAGGTTAGAAGAAAAAGAAGTCAAAGATGCTGTGTGAGAGATAAACTTGCAGCTGACAGTGTATAAATGTGTTTTTGGAAACTGTGCAGAGCTATTGAAGAACTTGTTGCAGAACAGGGGAGGAGATAAAGGCTTTTGAGTTGGGGAAACAATTCCAGAGGAATTTAATTACAGCAGATCCAGACAAAGCTAGAGAAGGAGAGGTCACTGCCCAGGTCGCTAGTGCCAAAGTAAGCCTAAATAGGAGAAGTTCTCCGGAGAGCAGAAAATTTAGTAATGACAGGCTTTGTCCCTATAAGAGAAGTTCAAACCAGAGAAAGAAGGAGAGAAGGGGAAATAGTTAGTCTTCCTACCTGTAGAATTTCAAGTAACCAGTGTCTAAAAAATCCTGGAGACTTAGTGGTTGTCGGAAAGGCTGAAAGGTGATGCCAGCGGTTATACAACCATAGTCTAAGCTACAGGCAGTCATGCCAGCAGCTGTCTTAGCTAAAAATAGAAGGAATAGAGTACAACAGAGTGCAATGGGAAAGAGAGAGAAAGTTACAGCCTGCCAAACTGGTTGGTGGTAGCAATAGGAAGCCAGGGGAATAGGGCCATGGTAGCAACCAGTACTGTCAGCCACGTTACTAATAGGTGGAGAGAAAAGATCAAACCAAAGCATCCAATGAAGAGGTCAAGCCAAACAGGACCAGGTGCACCAAATGGTCAAGAAAAACAAGTACAAGGGAGGAGACAATACTGAAGGATTATTACCACAGAGCTAAAGTCAAAATAGCCAAAGTCAGGCAAAGCAAGAACCAACACTATAGGGTGTGAGACTGATGGTCATGCCAAGCAACACTGGAGCAGTCCCAATATTATGATGGTCAAGCATAAGTAAATCAATTACCAGCCCAATAATAAAGAAAGCCAAGGCAGAAGTGGTTGGCAGAGTGTAAGTTTAAATATGTTAACATAGAACTAAAGCTAGCACAACAATAAAGTACAGAACTAGTTAGAAAGAATAGTGCAAGATAGCAGGTTATAGCCCCATACACACTTTAAAATATGACAAGATCAATACTGTCAAAGTGTTTTATCACTATCTTACCCTAATCTTTCTAAAATGCTTTGTTGCCAACATTTGCTATACTCCATGAATCCACATAAGCCTATGTAAATAGCTTTTCCATTCACTTTATCTCATTACTCTTTTCAATAATTCAAAAGTAAACAGTGTAACATAAACAATCTTGCATTGTATTTCAGTTTAATTCACAACCATGCAATTATACTCAGCCAATAAATAGGATAGTTTTATCTGATGAGTTACTATATGTTTTTGCTAATCAAATATTTCTTTCTGTAACACTAATTACACTTACACTGCTTTATAAATAACAAATCTGACAGGACATTGACTAAGTTAAGCTAATGAGTACAAGGGCTTGTCCATGTAGTCTTTCTTGGCAATAATACTGAAAGGATTGTTACTGCCTTCTTCAAGGATATTTTTCTACTTCCTCAATCCAACCTACAGCTCTACAATTTCATTATGATATTCCATTTCAATATTAGACATGACTCTACCACTATCTATGAAATGGAAATGGAATAAAAGGGAGAAAAACAGAAGCCAACAAAGGAATAATTTACATATATCTGGGTTCAGTATATTGTAAGATGCTTGGGTCAAGAGTTCTGATAAGAAAAAAGAATCAAACATTTTGACAAAATAGATCAGGAGTGCACTGCTTCAGCTTATTGCACTTGCCTACCACTGATTATTCTAGAACACAATTTTTTAAATTGTTTTATGCAGGGCTTTTTTTGTCAGAAAATGCCCAGAACGGAATTCTGGCACCTTTTTTGGATGGAACCTTGTAGGGTAGGCAAGGCAGGTTGTATGACGTGTGTGAGTTCCGGCACCTTTTTTTTTTTTTTTTTTACAAAAAAAGCACTGGAATACCAATATTTTCTGAACTACTTGAAGATATTCCAAGATTTCTATGTATGTATTGGACCCATTTAATTACATTAGCCAAATAAATGTACTACTGATTAATGAAGAAAATGTGTAGGGATAATTCTTAGACATTACAATGATACAAGTGAAAAAAGAATGCACCACTAGATTTTGAATGAAAGCTCATTGTGAGTGTTATCATTTAGATCAAAAGACACTAAACCTCCTACCTCTTATTTACATGTATCTTTGTGAAAGTGAATTTCTAGCACTCATTACAAATCAAGATCAAATGTTAAGGTGAATTTTAGACTAATTCTAAAACTTTTTTTAAAGAAACACAGATTTACTACAACTTTGACAGCTCTTTGGAACTAGAAAGACTCAAATCTGACTCAGCATTTTTCAGGAAGAAATTCATGTCAGATTGTAATAGCCTGTAGCAAAAGAGTTCTAGAGCTGAAAGCATAAAAGGAACATTTTTTTGCAACATAATTAAGGGTTTGCCACTGAGTAAGAATTTTGGCAGAATGATAGGAAAAATCATCTCTTCAGGAAACAATGAGATAAAAGCCATAAACAAAGACAAAAGAGGAAGTAAGTATTTCCCCCCTCCTTTTAAAAAGATTGTGTGGTAATATTATGCATCTTTATCAGCTCTCAGAGCCTCAAGCTTATCTGCTAATGGAAGCTAAGTGTTTTGAATCTGGATAGAGAGGTGGAGAGAAAAATCTTCATTCTGTACTGAGTAGTGGAGCCAAGTGAATTGTTACACTTGAGTGCTGTTGGCTGCTTCCAAATCAAAGAACCTGAGATACTTTTCAACACTCCTTTTGAGTGAAGGCCTGCTGATGAATCAGTGACAGGGAAAACAACTACTCCAACCAGGATAAACTGCCAGCTCTGACTGACATTAAAGATTTGGTAGAACAAGCTGCCCTTCAATTCCTGCCCAACTTAAAGCAATTAACAGGAAGGTGGTAAGATAAAATCGATTATAGATCAGCCTCTTTAAGTAGGTACTTGATCTCACAGGCTGGGTTCACACAATCAATCAGAATAGAGCTGAAAAGGACCTTGGAGGTCTTCCAGTCCAACCCACTGCTCAAGCAGGAGACCCTACACCATTTCAGACAAGTGACTGTCCAATCTCTTCTTAAAAACCTCCAGTGATGAAGCACCCACAATTGCTGATGGCAAGCTGCTCCACTGGTTAATTGTTCCCATTGTTAGGAAGTTTCTCAATTCCAGGTTGCTTCTTTCCTTGATTAGTGTCCATCCATTGTATCTTGCCCTGCCCTCTGGATCATACTATGCTATAATTAGCTACCACATATACCACATATACACTATATATATATATATATATATATATATATATATATATATATATATATATATATATATATATGTTAGTATACATGCGTAGGGTTTATATATTGCCCTAAATCATAATCTGCAAATTACAATGGCTACTGCCCTTCAATATGCTGGGCCAAAAGGGAACCATATTATGATTTACTTTAAATCAAGTCACTATCTTCCAATTGTAAACACATCTGTTCTCCCATTCATAGAGGTTAGTACAGCAGCCCCCAATTTTATGTGCAGCAGAGATCAGTTCTGTGGAAAAAATAATAATTTTCATGACCAGAAACTTTGCTTGTTTGCGCGGCCCAGTTCCTAACTGGGACTGCTATCAGTCCATGGCCTGGGGATTGGGAACCCCTGGGTTAGAAGTTTAGACTAGCCTCTAAATTATTATTTTTGATGGTTATTCTTGACTGCTACTTCAGTAATCTTGTATTTTGCCATTATATTGATGTTCTTACCTGTTCTCCAGATTTGCTTGTATTATGGGGGGCCTTATAAGATGAATTAAATAAACACATTCCATAAATAAATTAGGATTGCACCAATGGTCAAAGGAACTGATTTGCTGTTTAATTTAGGGTATTTATATATCAGTTTTAATGTTTTAATATTTTAAGTACAATTTTATTCTATTTCTTTTCTTGTTAGTGATCTTAAATACTACTTAATGAAAAGGTAAGCTATGTATTTAATAAAATCATAAATAAAATAGAAGTCAGATATTAAATGCATGTATTAAATGCAACCTGCATTTATTTAAAAAATATTTTAAAAAAATAAACAAAGTTGTTGAATGTAAAAATTTCTGAACTCCTATATCTAATGAGTGATTCCAATTTAACAAGATATGGCAGTGGTGGCGAATCTATGGCACGCATTCCAGAGGCGGCACTCTGAGCCCTCTCTGTGGGCACATGTGCCATCGC